GTTCGAAACCAGCCTGAGAACAGGGAGACTCTGTTTCTACTAAAAAATAGAAAGAATTAATTTGCCAACTAAAAATATATAGAAAAAATTAGCCGGCATGGTGGTGCATGCCTGTAGTCCCAACTACTCGGGAGGCTGAGACAGAAGGATTGCTTAAGCCCAGGAGTTTGAGGCTGCTGTGAGCTAGGCTGATGCACGGCACTCTAGCCTGGGCAACACAGTGAGACTGTCTCCAAAAAAAAAAAAAAAAAAAAAAAAATAAATAAATAAATAAATAAAAGTCCTAGTTGGATGTAGTGGTACTTGTCTGTAATGTCAGCTATCCAGGAGGCTGAGGTGGGAGGATCACTTGATCCTAGGAATTTGAGACCAGCCTGGGCAATGCAGCAAGACCTCATCTCACATACACACTCAAAAGTGCTATAAAGGAGAAGAAACCAATATTACTACTGAGAACATAACAATAATTAAATACACATATAATAGTATAACTAAGGACATTTACTTAACCTCTGTAGGCAATTCCAGGCAATTTCTTACCTGGAATACCTTTTCCATAATTTCTCGGTCATATACTGGAATTTGCTTATAATTTCGGAATTCTGGCACCTGTTGGCTTCTAAGATGAAGAAGCCTGAATCGTTTGGATCTATTCAATTCTTCATCTGAAACAAAATTAAATTCCTGTTGCAGCTGTTCCAGTCGAAAGAAATCAGGGACATAGGATTCACCACTGGTTGCAACCTATAAAAAAAATAGAAAATGCAAACCTCCAGATAATGGGCAAATTTCATCCAAAGAAACCTGGCTCTGAGCTTCTGGGAAGATTTAACAATTTCAGATTAAAAGACTTGGAAGACAAAATACATGAAAAAATAATAGTAGCTAGGCAGATGCTATTATATTTATTTAGTAGCTATAAAAGGTACCACAAATCATTTTTCCAAAAAACAAAAATTATTGTTTTACTTTTTTGGTGTACATGCTTCCCCAAAAATGCTATTATGCAAATATCCAGACTGAAAAAGGAGAGATATCAGACCCCAGTGTATCACTAGAAATAAAGTTACTCATATATACACAGTATATATAAAATCTAATATATATCTGACTTTTTAATTTATTTAGGCACATATGTAGATAAAGGCCCCAGAGGCAGCTGGTCAGCTTCATTGGCTCCATGGCCATGCTTTCCTTTCTCTGAATAGCACCTCACAGCCTTGGTCACTGAGAAAAGTGAGCCAGAGATGATCCAGGCAAGCTGACCTCCAGGGCTCTGTACGTTGTCACAGGAGGGACAGCTTCGGGACACCACTGCACAGCTGAGCAGGTGTGGGCTGCCTTTACCCAGGTGCTGCCTGACTCTCTGCTTGGTGCTTTGCCAGTTGTGACCTCCTTCTAGTCTCGAACTCCTGAGCTCATGTGATCCTCTCACCTTGGCTTCCCAAAGTGCTGGGATTACAGGCATGAGCCACCACACCTGGTTTATGACCTCCTCCCGGGGACAGGGAAGGCCAGTGCACAGAGAGATGCTGGAGCCTTGCTTGGGAAAGGTGGCCCTGCTGTGACAATCCTGGTCCATAACAAGAGATGCCTCAAGAAGGCATCCCTGTGTTTTTTTCTTACATAGAAAAGCACATGATTAAAAAGGAAATGATGAATGTGATATGTGTACTATATTACCACTAATTGAAAGATAATGAAAATGTGATTTGAAAACTTTACATGGACTAGACTACACGTTAGGCGATATGGCCTATTTTTTCTAATATTTCTATTATCCACATTAAGAAGCATCGTGGTGGAAGGAGAGTTTATAAAGATAAAAGTCAGAATAAACCAAACCTTGTTTTGGAACTTAGAAAGACTAGAAGCAAAATGAAAGGTTTCATACTGGTTATAATTAGCCTATTGATGAACTCATACTGATAACCACGATCATAAGAATGTGTTGCTGTGGCCAAACCCTGGATCATCTACTTGTTTATTATGTTTTCATGTGAATTATGAAGTTGCCAATAAAACCAATTGCATTTCATATCAAGAAAAATAATTTGCTAACTAATGTTCCATTTTATTTACAAATTCACTGAAGAAAAATTTTGAATATCATGGTAGATACAAGCAATTTATCTGGTAAATACTTAAGTGAAATCTAAATGATAACCTAATTAATCATCAACAAGAACAGAAACAAAACAAAGATTTCTTAAAATGCCCCGTCAGTACTAGAGGGGAGTACTGTGCTCTGAAAGGAGCAAGTGCTCTGAATTTAGATCGATGACTTAGTTGTGTGACCTCAAGCAAGTAACTGAGTCCTTTGAACTCAGTTTCCCTTTTATAGAACGGGGAAAATAAAATCTTTATATGAGGGTTTTACAGAGGTTAGCAGTAAGAATAACAACGACAACAATAGCTAATATTTACTGCACGTGTATTGTGCCTGGCTAAGTGTTTATCTGCAGCACCTCATTTCCTCAGCACCAGCCTATGAGGAAGGCACTGGCTTAGAAGCATTGGGAGTTTGCCTTGGTCCCATAGCCAGGTAAGCAGCAGAGCTGGAATTTAAACTTGTCATTTTACCCCGCATTCATGTTCTTAAAGAGGAGAACATAGTGTAAAAGAAAATGTGTATTAAGGAGAACATAGCGTGAAAGAAAACGTGTATAAAGGACCAAGCTGTTTCTATCATTATCAGGCCAAATCGAGCAACATTGTGTTTGCCTCTTCCCACATTACCGAGATTAGCTGCATCAAAGGGGCATTGTTGGGGTCATTTGGGTCCAGCTTGGACTCTGCTGCCCACTTGGCCAACTTTTTCATGTCTGTCACTCCTGATGTGCCAATAGATGAGATGGCATCTGCTCTCTTCAAAGCACTGGAAAAACAAAAACAAAAACAAAACAGTTGATTCCATGAGACTGACTTTACCACAGAGCAGTCTGCATGCACCAGCACCACAAAATCCCAGGGACAGCATCGCTTAAGGAAGTTATTGTCTTCCCCGAGAGACAATGTTATCTTAGGAGGACTTTTGCCATTTTTCTTTGTTTGACAATTGCTATCAGGAAATACCAATGGAAGGAGTGCAAGTATGATGCATTCCTACAACTCTGCCCAGTGCACAAAAGCCTCCCCCCACCAGATGCCAGCCCGCCCATCCCTGGATCCCAGCCAGTGAGGAGGAGCCTCTGCATCTGGTGCAGGAAGCCTCAGAAGCTTCATATCCTGGGCCACTGGGGTGCACTGTAGCTGAAGACAAACTAAAAGAAAAAACAACCCTGAAACAATGAACTTATGCACTGACATTGGACACAGGGAATCCGAGGGAAGCCAAAGTGGGCAGCACGGTTGACCTGGGGCGTTATTAACAGTCCTGTATATCTTGTTACTAACTTAGGTTGTATTTTACCTCCTCTCCTGAGGAGTTTGGCAGCTTAAATCCCCAGGAGATTTCTAGCACCAAACACAAGTGAAATAAATGCAAAGTTCTGCTCTGCTCAAAGGCAGAGCCCTGCCTCCACTGGGAAAGTCTTCTGCCTTAGAAAGTGCAGAGCAGCGTCTCCTTGTCATTTTTGTCCCATGGATGGAGATGGCATCAAGGAAACAAGGCAAGCCCTGTCTGTGTTTCCATGTGTGGAAAAATGACACTTTCCAAGTCACAGACTGTGCCCGTGTCCTTTTGGTGATCAGAATAAAATGTTTTATTTTAGAGACGAGGCAACAGAGGCCTGCGGTGGTGAAATGATGGACTCCAGAAGCATCTACCGGGGAGTGACAGAGGGAGGCTCTGACAGGGGAAGACCCAGGCCAGGAAGAGACTCATTGTGAAGGCTAAGTTCTTTTCACTGTCTCTGGCACTGAAAAGCACTCAATATTTGTTAGGCTATTAATATTTTAATTTTTACTTTAAGAACAATAAAAAAAAAAGACCCTTGAAAATACTGGCACCTGACAATAAAAGGAGAGAATATGATATTCCAGGCTTTCTATCCCTTGGATATTTTTAATGCCAACATTGACATTGGTCATCAATTTATTTTAACCACATATTACCTCCGAAATCCAATGTTCTGCTGTGACAATGGAGGAATTAAAGGTATCCCATTTTCTCCAATGGCCCAGGCCACACTGTGGGACACTTTCCCTGAAGTCATCAAAATCAGTTGATTACTGCCATCAGCTTCAAATGAGAAGGGCACTCCTAGGAAAATGCCAGATTAAACAGGATGGTGTTTAGACAGAAGGACTGAGCCCAGACCTGGCAAGAAGGCAGACAGTAGACAAATGAGACTGGGAGTGGCTAGGGGTGGGAGGGATGGAACATACAATTCAAGCCAATGTTACTGAATTTCTTCAGGTGATGATGCTGAGAGTCAGCTGCTTGGCTCCATCTCTGACAGCAAAGTGTATGTTACCATGGTGCACTCCCGAGTGAGTCCGCCTGTATGCACATAGTGGCTCTGCCACTTTGCAGCTATGTGACCTTAGAGAAGTTACTTAACTTCTCTGAGCCTTAGTTTTTTTTTTTTGAGACAGAGTCTCGCTTTGTTGCCTAGGCTAGAGTGCGTGCCTTGGCGTTAGCCTAGCTCACAGCAACCTCAAACTCCTGGGCTCAAGCAATCCTTCTGCCTCAGCCTCCCAAGTAGCTGGGACTACAGGCATGCGCCACCATGCCTGGCTAGTTTTTTCTATATATATTAGTTGGCCAATTAATTTCTTTCTATTTATAGTAGAGACAGGGTCTCACTCTTGCTCAGGCTGGTTTCGAACTCCTGACTTCGAGCAATCCGCCCGCCTCGGCCTCCTAGAGAGCTAGGATTACAGGCGTGAGCCACCGTGCCCACCTGAGCCTTAGTTTTTTGTTTGTTTGTTTTTTAATGTATAAATTAGGGATAGTAATAGCACTTCCTTAAAATAATCATTTTGAAGACATTTGTTTATTGATTCATTCAAGATACTTATCTGAGCTTCTACTTCATGCCAAGCACTATTGCAGGTACTGAAGACACCAGTAAAGAAACAAAACTGTTCAGAATCCCTGTTCTTAAAAAAGAAAGAATCCCTGTTCTCATGGTTCTCATATAGTTTATATGTGAGTAGGAGAGATAAAGAATAGTAAAATAAATAAGAGAAATACTTTGTGACAAAATGAGGAGGCATATAGAAAATTGTGCTCTGTGGGGTGGGGAGAGAATGAACTTTCAGACACGGTGTCCAGGCAAGCCCCAGTGAAGTGACTGCTGAATAAATGGCTGAAGAAAGTGAAGAAGTGACACATGTAGGTACTTTGAGAAAGAGCATTCCTGGCAGAAAGAACAACAACTATTAATGCAAGCACCCTAACGTGGGAGTGAGGAACCCCAGTTAAATGAGTTAGTACTTGCAGAGCAATTAATGCCTGGAAAATAGTGATCACACAACAAATATAAGTTATTACTAAGCTACTGTGGCTACAGTAAAACCTCACTGATTTGGCCTCTACCAATTAGAAATTAATGGTAAAATCTCTCTGGGCAGAAGGTTTAATCAACTAAAGGAAAAGATTTTCAAGCACTAAATCCAGTAACTTCACAGTCTATATTTCTATTTGGTAATTATTAGCACAAAATAATATTGTTATTACACTGTAATAGCTTCCTTGTGTTTTTCAAATATCTTCCCTTCAAATTGAACATCCTGTATTGATCTTCAAAATAACCCTATAAGATACTAAACGGGATATCATTAGGTCCGTTTTATGAATAAGGAAGATGATATTCAAAGAGGTTAGATGACTACTAGAGTCACACAGTTTGTCAGTATCAGAGCTGGAACTAAAGCTTAGGTCTGCAGAGTTTTACTGGAGTGCTTGGATTTGGGCCTCAAAGAAATACTGCAGATAAAGTTCTAGATATAAGCTCACAATAGAAAATCACCAGACACATGAGGACACAAGCCACTGTGAACAAGAGGCAACAGAATCAGAACAATAAGCAGATAGGTATTGGAACAATCAGATGCAGAATAGTAAAAAACATCTTGAATGTGTTTAAATAAAATGAATGAATGAATGCATGAATCAAATAAATGATTTAGAATCTGAGGAAAGGACAAAAAAGCTATCGGAACTGACCAAGCTGATTGGAAAAGAACTAAATAGAATTTCTAAGTTTGAAAAATATAGTAATTGAAAGGAAAACCACAATGACATGTTCTAATGATTTGACTTGTAAGACAAATTTAAAGAAATTACATAGAATGTAGTGGTGAAAGAAAAGATATCAAATATATTAAATAAAGGCTAAGAAACAGAGAGGAAGGTCAGGCGCGGTGGCTCACGCCTGTAATCCTAGCTCTCTGGGAGGCCGAGGCGGGTGGATCCTTTGAGCTCAGGAGTTCGAAACCAACCTGAGCAAGAGCGAGACCCCGTCTCTACTATAAATAGAAAGAAATTAATTGGCCAACTAATATATATATATATAAAAAAATTAGCCGGGCATGGTGGTGCATGCCTGTAGTCCCAGCTACTCAGGAGGCTGAGGCAGGAGGATCGCTTGAGCCCAGGAGATTGAGGTTGCTGTGAGCTAGGCTGACGCCACTGCACTCACTCTGGCCTGGGCAACAAAGTGAGACTCTGTCTCAAAAAAAAAAAAAAAAAAAAAGAAACAGAGAGGAAGATTAGGAAGACAACAGCAGTTGGCGAGCCTGCCACTCTCAAGGCAAGGATCGCAGTTTGCAGGCAGATGCCTACCCACAGATAGCTCTTCTCAGAAGGAACATTGTGAAACATGACTGAAGGAATCATTCAACAAGATTGAAGAAATCTGTGGGGAGGCGTCTATACAGAGGAAAAATTAGGAGGATACAGCATGGGGTCTGTCACTAATCACAGGGGAAATGCAAATTAAATTTGCAATGAGATATCGCCTCACCCCTGTCAGAATATATCTTTTTCAAAAGTCCCAAAACAATGGATGCTGGCATGGGCGCAGAGAGAAAGGAATGCTTATACGCTGTTGGTGGGACTGCAAATTAGCACAACCTCTGTGGAAAACAGGATGGAGATTTCTCAAAGAACTAAGAGTAGACCTACCATTCAATCCAGCAATCCTACTACCGAGTATCTACCCAATGGCAAAGCAGTCATTTCATCAAAAAGACACCTGCACTCACCATGGGGTACTACTCAGCCATAAAAAAGAATGAATTAATGCCTTTTGCAGCAATTTGGATGGAATTGGAGACCATTATGCTAAGTAAAATTTTCAGCACTGGAAAAACAAACACTATATGTCTTCTCTAATAATTTGGAACCAATTGATGGGCACACATGGGCACAAAAAGAACTAAAAATCATTGGAAATCATGAAAGAGGGCAACGGGAAGAGGGGAGGATACAGTGAACAATATTCAGGTGATGGTACACTTATAGCCCTGACTAAAGCATTATAAAGCTATCCATGCAACAAAAACATTTGTATCACCTTAATATTTAATATAAAAACTTAATATAAATATTTATACTAATATTTATAATTAATAAATATTAAGTTTTAAAAAATTTAAACTTAATAATATTTAATATAAAAACTTAATATAAAAACTAAAAAAAAGAAAAACACGGAGAACAGAGTGAGAAAGCCCATTATGTATCTCATCAGAATTGTAGATGAGAGAATATTAGTGAAAAATCTCCCTATTATAATTAAACTTTTCAGACTTATAAATAACGTTGTAATATACATTTTTTATGCACAAAGCTTTGTCCCCATTTCAAATTATTTTCCTAGGAAAAGTTTCTAGATGTAGAATGAAGGCACCAAAGGGCATTTTAACGGCCTCTAATTCATGTCAAACTATGTACTTTATAGTTGCATAGTTATAAGCATTACTTCACCACCAAGTATACATAAAAAAAATGACTTAGCAAAAAATTGTGTATCATAAGTGTTTTAATTTGAATTTCTGATAACAATGTGGTAATTATCTGGTTATCTGAGAAGTGAAAGAAAAGGATACATAAGATATATTCAAGTCTGACAGTAAAACTGTAAGCCACTGCAGATAATCAGCTTTCCATACCACTTCCAACTCCCTCGTGGTCCAGTGTCACATGCTGATTACTGCTAAACTCCACTTCTTCAATCGGAGCCCTTCCAGTAACAATGGTGGTCTCAGGGATAGGCAGAAATACTTCTGCTAGCAAGGTGGGGCTACTGTGTCCAACAGTTTCATAGACCTGAAAACCGGAGAAGAAAAACAGCCATAAAAACACCAGTTGAATATGCTCATTCTCAGATAATCAGTCCACATTGTTAGAGTTTGTGCTGGTCACTGTTACAGCCCAGAGGGCCCATGTCAGAGTGGAAAGTTGTGTGTTACTACGGTCCTCATGGAGACCGGCCTACACCCTGTGTGCAGCCTTGTTGTTGACACCATTTTCTTGCTCAGCCTAATCTCCTGGGGTGGGGAGGTTAATCAACGTAGTAGGCAAAGATAGTTGTTCGTATTTGAAATTAACACACATGTTATTCAGAGGATGGGCTTCCTCTTTTCCCTGGCTCAGGTTGCTTTCGGGGAGCAGTACCATCAGGTGGAAAGTGTGAGACTATAAGGACATGCCATAGATGGTTTAATATCTGCACCAACCTTCAAGCCAGTAGGAGAAGCTCAGCATCCCAAAACCATTCCAGAGTGCTATGTTTAAATCCACTAGTTGGAAAATGTCTCAAATTTCTTCCCCTCCAGAACTCACTTTATTTGTTATCTGCTGAAACCCCAGCCATCTTTTTCTCAGACCTTTTCCCAGACTGAGCCAACCGGCAGCTCTGATACTGATTGCTGTGGTGTGTCTCATTACAATGCCATCACCACGAGGTGGAGGACCTTTGCCAAAGGAACGTAGATTAAGAATGTACAATCCATCCTTAGTTGGACCCTCTGCTCTATTTGATCTCCTGTATTCTTGACTCACCTTGCTTTTGCAGTAAGATAACAAAATATTCCCCAGTTCTGCCGGCTTCTTTCCTGTGATTTATTCTTTTCCCCCATGAGGTCTCTCTGGTTCATGTTTCTTTAAAACTGCTGATTCTATACTATTATTTCTACTAATTAATCTTCATATTTTTCTTCTTAGGCCAAAGAGTCCCCCTGTCATCACTATTTTCCACTCACCACTTGAATGCACAGAGATGACACTCTGGATCGACTCTGCCCACCCATCCTCAGAGAGCACATGAACTGAGTCCTTTTCCAAGCATGAGGATGAATTTGTGCCTGGCTACCATCCCGGCCTCACCACCCTCGTATCCACAGCTCGATCTGCAAGATGCCTGGCTGAGCTTGGAGGGACCACTGGGGCAAAGACAAAGAGGGAAACTGCTTAGGAAAGGAACTCGGGACCCCAGGCGGTACCCACCAAGAGACCCACCAAGAGACTATTCAGGGTTCTCCTGTGATGGGGTGGCCCAGTCTGCCTGGTCCAGGAGCTCAGGAGAAGCTGAAACCACACTCTCCAAAGTCATCGTTACCAGTAAAAACAGGTGATATTTTGATCCATACTAAAAAATCTTTTAGGGAAAATTTCAAACATATACTACACAAGAATGGTAATATACACTGACCCATCAGCCAACTTCAACTATCACTAACTTATGATGAATCTTATTTCATCTATACTCTCACCATTCCCCTCCCCTCCAATATCCTGAACTTAGACATCATCGCACCTGTAAATATTTTAATATATATCTCTAAAAGATAAGAATATTTTAAAAAGCATAATTATAAGACTATTAATATAATCATAGTATCGCAGTAATTCTTTAATAGCATCAACTATTGGTAAGTTTCAAATTCCTTGTGAGCCTCAAAAAATTCTGCAATATTTTGTTTGAATCAGGATCAAAATGTATTCTACATATTACAGTTGATTGATATCTTCCCCAAGCATCTATTAATTTATAAGTGATCCCTCCTCTTTTTACACTTTTCCTTTATGCTGTTATTGCTTCAGAACTCTGAAGGGAAAAGGACTGCCATTTGTTGCTTGTCCCAATACTCTTAAGGGCTGATAGTTCTATAATCTATACAACTTAAAGAACACCTAGTAGGTTTGTGTTTGTTGCACAGGAGGCTTTGGTTTGACCTGTTAAATTATGGACTCATTGGCATAAAGTTTCAGCCTGAGAAAATGGTGTATTTTCTTTCATTAAAAAATTTTTAACTTTTCTTGCCAAAATTTTAACTCATTGAGCCATCCTTTTGTATGAAGCCCACTAGACACTTTAGGTATGCTATCTTGTTTAATCTTCACCACAGTCCTATGAAAGATAGTTTTTATTCCTGATGAGTATGCCCTGCACTGGTCACCATGTTGAGTGAGGACCAATAAACACAGTGATCACATCGTGGGCATTTTTGGTGGGCATCAGTGGAAGGGTTCTTGTTTCCAGACTCTATAGCACATTCTTATCTGCTGTTCAGAGAAAAACTGAATGGGGACTCTTGCTACCAAGTCAATGAGACAGAAGCAAAGACGGACTCTAGGAAACTAAAGGGTTTGCTAACTGGGACTACTGTCCCAGTAGAGTCAACTTTTTTATTTAAAAAATGGATGCCATCTGACAAAGCCATAAAACAGCTAAAATTTCCCCAAACCTTTTACCTTACTGTTTTAAGATAGCAGCAGTTCTATTTAATGCTAGGTAGGATAAAATGTTACTTTTAAAAATTGGGAAATGGGTGCTTTGGGGTTTAAATCGGTGTTTATAAATGGCTTTCTGTATAATTAAGTTTAATTTTTGTTTTTCTCTTTAAGCCAGGGGTTTTCAGGCTCAGCACTGTTGACAGTCTGGGCTGGATAATCCTTTGTTGTGGTGAGCTGCACATCATAGGATGCTTAGCAGCACCCCTACCTCTACCCACTAGAGATGCCAGTAGCTTCCCACCAGCTATGATAATGAAAAATGTCTGCAGACATTATCAAACGTGCCTGGGGTGGGGGGAGGGCAAAATTTGAAAGCACTGCTCTGAGCAAAATGAGCATGTGTGCGCATGTGTGTTTGACCATGGAATGTTAATGAAGAAAGAAGACTACAAATGGAATTTGATTTGCACTCAGCTGTTTAGAAATTCCTCTGTTGTGTAAGGCAAAGCAGCAGTGAATTCAGAATGGCAATAAAATCAACTGCTGCAAAATTAGGGCCATTTATGAAATTATTATTACTTTCCCTGCATTTTGAATATTGTTTGTTTTAACTCAAGACTCTGGTACAAATTTACCTGCCAACAGTATTTAGAATCATATAGATAAGATGAACCTTAGATGTTTAGGGAAGTTAAAGTAGGATAGATAAAAAATATATTCCATCCTGAAGTAAAGTGTATACTGCATGGTGTTAAGTCATGTTTCTCTGATTTAAAGAAATCACAGTTTCATCTCTCGCCCTTGGGAGCTTTGGATCCTGTACAAATGGCTGCTCTTTAATCTCAGCTGCCTGGGGAGCTATTCACCAGTCCTGGCTGATGGCCCCACTGCTGCTCAATGTTGACGCAAACCTTTCCTACTCTCATGTCCACAGACCCCCCTCCTTTACTGGAAAGGTTGAGGGCATCTGACGTGAGCACCTTTCACAGCCTTGCCCTCTACCCAGCTCTCCTAGGTCAGCACTCCTTCCTCAAGGGACCTTCCTAAGACCAGTCCCTCCAACATGTCCTGATCCCTCCCTCCCAGCATCCTGTGGGATCCGATCTCTCCCCTCTCCAGCCCCCCAATTTCCCTTATTTCCAAAGTCATCAATCTTTTCTCACAGCTGACAAACATGCTTGATTCCACCACACCCTACAGTAAATCATGATCCCTTCAAATCCCTGTTCCATTTCTCTCCTTCCCTTTTCTGCCAAGGCTCTGGGATGGGAGCCTCTTCTTGGTATCTTCATTTTCTCTCCTCCCATTCCATTGGACCTCAGTCACCGGGTCCTCCTGTCTCTTCCCCACTGCAGCCTAATTGTCACGTCAGGGACCACACCCAGTTCACCTCCCTGTTTCCATTGGTGCCTCACCCAAGACACATACTCGATAAACACTTGTTGGATGGAATGTACAGACCATAGGTGGCTGCAGCACAGGGAGTTGGTTAAGAGAACAGGTCTGTCCCTGAGCTCTGTCCCTTATGTCTGTGTGACCTCCGGACAGTTACTTTACTTCTCCACATGTTTCTCCCACTGAATGACAGGGATGATAATACAGCTGCCACAGGTGAAGACTGAATGAGTTTATACATGAAAAAGGTTTAAAATTATAGCTGGCATATTATAATTGTTCAGTAACTGTTATCTTATACTAGATATTATTAAATATTTACACGATATTTTCCTCATGCCAGAAATATAAGAGCTCAATAGGGCTGATTCATAAGGAAAAATAATAAGGCTAAAAAATGTAAAAGCCCTCCAGCAGCATTACCGTTGTTAGTTTTTTTTGGAGTCGGAAAGACGATTGTAGGGTAAAGTTACAGATTGGAGTAACAAACAAATGAAGGTAAAGCTTTTCAGATTTCTAAGTCAAGTTTCTTGAAAGGCCAAGCATTTATTTTGGAAGGACCTCAGAAGCCAAGATTTTCAAGATCTTTCTGGAAGGACTCTGGTCTGGCTCCAACTGCCCTGTCCAGTGACATCTAATTTCACCCTTCTCTTGGGGCCAGCTTTGATTCTACTCCTCTTTACTCCCTCAAGTCAAACTGTCATCAAGCTCTGTGGATGTCACTGATTGACAATGATTGATTTGCAATGTTGCCTTAATCTCTCCTTCTCTTTTCTACCACCAGTCTCCGATCCCATCCCCTTACTCCTGTGCCAGCCTTTGGACTCATCTTCTGCTGGTAGGACTGCCTTGGCATTCTTATCTCAAGCCTGGCTAGGATGCTCAGAACCTTATGGTTAAACACATGCAAGAAATCAAACATCATCGTCCACACCGTTCCCCTCAGTGGTCCTTCACATATAAATTCACCAACGAGCACTGTTTCTTTGGAGCCCTCTCTCTTCTTCCAGCTGGACTGAATTCCCTGAGGCAGGGCCCTGTGTGCTCCTTCGTGTATGAGGCTTCCAATTCCCCACCACACGCCTGGCCTAGTGTTCGATCTTCAGTTGGCTCTTAACAATTGAGCGGCAACATTCATGACTTGGTTGTTTAGTCATCAATTGATACATTATTGTTTTGAGACTCTCAGAACTTTCCCTGAACTATATTAAACTCTAAAAGTAAGAATGTGCTAGCATTGGCGTAAACAGATGCACTTAAGGTGATTTTTTTTATTACCCTTCTAAAGTTACCAGTAATTCTTAAACTTTCCCTAATTTAAAACTAGCAATTCGGTGGAAAATTTCCAAACAGCATTAGCACTATTCCTAGAGACTTGAAGTACAATATTCCCTACTTTAATTTCATCCGTGGCTACTATATAATCATAAAAAGTTACGCCGTTGTGATATGTGATTTGATCAATTATCAAATCCCTTTAGATAGCATAAGAACTTATCCAACACTCCCTTAATTGGTAATTTTTTTTTTTTAAATGCTTACATGATTCAGTTGTTAGGGCCAAACTAATTGCCTATAAGTATATTCTTGGAAGTAAAGGAGAATACTTTGTTTTTTTGCTTAAAGAATTTATTTCTTAGTATTTCAGAGAATTACTCTTGTTATATTGCTTTAAAAAAAATTATTCTGTCATGAATATCCCTTCTGTGCAAAAAATAAAAAATAAAAAAAAATTATTCTGACTATAATATCCACAGCAAGCTAATATTCAAGATAGTAAACAAGAGATACTGTTAGAGGCTTTGCTTGTAGTTTAGAATATATGTGAAATAAAATAGTAGTGTGCTGTGGAAGGTAGAAGATAGTCTTTCCTTCTGGAGTAATTCAGAGAATTTGGAGCTGCCCACAGCGGGAGGGAGCGGGTTTCACAGAGTCCCACCAATCAGGGGAGGCGGGATGGGTACCTGCAGAGGGGAGGCCCTCGTGCCCTCTCTCTGTCTTTCTGACTCTCTTTCAGTGGGTCTCCTTGCTGAGGCTCCCTGGCCCTCCTACCTGCCATGGTACCATCTGCTGCTCTCCCTTCTAGCTCTGTATCTGGTCTCATGTCTTCCTCACATCAGCTTTTCCCCTGCAGGGGAGGAACAGGGAGGATGCATTAACTGTGAGTATCAAACTAGGAGCAGAACTCTGAATACTGAGATCTCTGCTCTTCTGTGAATGCAGATAGCGGGAGGGGGGCATGCTATGTGGGCCCCCAGCAACTCTTCCTGTATTCAGAGCAGGTGACAGAAAAGCATCAGGTGAGCTTCCGGAGTTTGTGTTTATTTACTTTCTGGGTGAAGTTTTATTCTTAATTTAGACAATGTTTTGTGTGCGGTAAGTCTGGCTTTACACTTTAGCTTAAGCAAATGTGTTCAGGGGCAGTGCAGGCAGGTTAATGTGGGGAACCAGCGAAGGTGTGGGGCTTCAGAACCAGCAGAATGGAACTCTCTCACAAAGGCATTCAATATTGGTTTCTTTTTGTTTTGTTTTGTTTTGTTTTTGAGACAGAGTCTTGCTCTGTTGCCTGGGCTAGAGTGCCATGGCATCAGCCTAGCTCATAGCAACCTCAAACTCCTGGGCTCAAGCAATCCTTCTGCCTCAGTCTCTCGAGTAGCTGGGACTACAGGCATGCACTACCATGCCCGGCTAATTTTTTCTATATATATTAGTTGGCCAATTAATTTATTTCTATTTATAGTAGAGACGGGGTCTCGCTCTTGCTCAGGCTGGTCTCGAACTCCTGACCTCGAGCAATCTTCTTGCCTCAGCCTCCCAGAGTGCTAGGATTATAGGCGTGAGCCACCGCACCCGGGATTCAGATTTTAAATGTTCCCAAACCCTGATGTCCAAACAGAGCACGCTGCCCCCTAGGCCCCTGTAGGGAATTCCTGGCCAAGAAAGGCTGCTGTTAATCCGGTATTAGTGGTACCAAAAATACTAGATTTTATCATTTTTGAAATGAATTTCAACATATTTGAAATTGAATTGAGCAGGGGCCACCAAGTCTCCTTTCCAGCATAATAGAGCTGGGAGCTCTCTACTCTCACATTCAAACAAAATCACCCCATTTCCCTCTCTCAATCTATTCAGAGTTATAAATCAAGAGGGAAAAGAAGTAGAAATTTGTGGAAAGATTATTTTCCCAGGGATGATATTCAGAAAGCGAATTTCCAGGCTTAAGGAAATCTTAGCTTTTCACCAAACTTCCAAATTCAATCCCTTTTCTAAAACTATTCTTTACTTGCTCAACTCTCCTTTTACACCTATTAAGTGTAAAACAGGGATGAGAGCAGGAGTGACTCCATGACAGGCTGCACTTCCTGGAGTAGGCCTAAGTTTCGGTTTCCCCGAAATTTCACTGACTACACCCTTCCCCGACTACACCCTTCCCCAAAGTGACACCAACAACACCTTTCCCCAAAATGACTCGCCGCTTTTGAAGGAGCCAATCAGGAGCCTACACGATCAGCCACTTTTAAAGGAACCAATGGACTAAGGGGGAAGGGGGGGGAGGTGTACCCAGTGTGTATAACTTGCAGAAAAGTATAAAAGTTTGACTTATGCCCCAGGGTGGGGTCCTGGTTCCTAGGGAAGCCACTGCATTGGTGCCCTGGGACCTGGACCCTAGCTCGAGCTCGCCAATAAACTCCTTTGTGCTTTGCAGCCTCAGCGATTCTGCCTCTCAGTTCCTGGGGCTGAAGAAGAAAAACGGCTCTAACATTATGTTTGCAGCAAAAACCAAAAAGTTCTATTTTTTTCAAGTTCCAGAATATATAGCCATTTTTAAAAATGTAGATGGCATTTTAAAGAATTATGGGTGTGACTGGATTAAGCCAAATTCTAAAATTTCTGGGAAAATGTTTTCAGTTGTGTAGATATCAATGCTGCTAGCAACACAACAAAGGAATTTGACTTGAGGCTTGATGCTAAGTGCTTTGTAAATGAGGACCACCCTCTGCCCTCACATAGAAATTAAAAGGTGTGGACAAAAAAATGTTGAACACACAGGGCCAGGCGCTAACCACTCAGAAGAGCTGTCAGGCACAGCTTGGGAACAGAGTCCTGCAGGCACCACCAGCCTTGCTCAGCCACCCACTTTAACCAGTCAACTGTGTGAAAATCGAGGGGATCTTGGAAGTGGGGTCTATATGGCTAGGGTGGTATTTGGGGGACTCAGGGCAGCGTCTAGTTACCATTCAGTACAGCAGTATGTAAATATTTTATTAATAATTATACAGATGTAATAGTACCCACAGACTTAATGTCAATTATAATCGATAGATAGTGACTCCTTAGACTACTGTGTTGAAAAGGATTCTGAAGTTAAATCCAGGCTCAGTGGGGGGAAAAAGTCATAGTCCATTATTCTTTTCTGGCAGGGGTGATGGGTGGGAGTGAGAAATTCCTGTGTAAGTGGTGGATGAGGATCAGAGATTTCGGCCTTGGCAGTGGATGGGAAGCAAGGGCATGTTTTGCCATATACTTACAACCTTAGTTAACAAGCCAGTTAGCATCACAAGAGAGAAATCTGTTAGCATCAGAAGCAAGGATTCACCGAAATAACAAATAAGCCTTAAGACACTGTAGTAGGTTGAAGAGCCTCCTCCAAAAATTGATGTCTACCCAGAACCTCAGAATGTGACCTAATTTGGAAATGGGGTCTGTGCAGATGTAATCAGTTAAAGATCAGGATGAGAGCCTGCTGTGTTAAGGTGGGGTATAAATCCAATGAGAGTGTCCTTTTAAGAGACAAAAGGATACATGGAGTCACAGAGAAGGCCAGGTGAAGATGGAGGCAGAGACTAGAGTTTTGCTGCTACAAACCAAGGAATTCCAAGAGCCAGGAGAAGCTGAAAGAGGCAAAGAAGGATTCCCCTATAGAGCTTTTAGAGGAAGTATGGCCCTACAAATACCTTGATTTAAGACTTCGGGCCTCCAGACCTGAGAATGAATACATTTCTGTTGTTTTTAAACCACTAAGTTTGTGGTGTTAGTTATGGTAGCCCTGGGAAACTGAAACAGACAGACACAAGTAAATATATTGCTAATGGTCAGATTTAGGCTAGGGGTAAGATTTATTAATGTAGGGGGATCCTAGCACTTATATCTCTCCCCGCCCCCCATCATAACCGCCTTGATTATGGCAGAATTGATTTCTTTGTTATATTTTGCTAGGTTCCTGGTAAAGGGTGATACTGAAATATTTCTTCAATGAATGAGCTGGATATCCCCATCCCCCACCCGCATTCAGCCCCCACCCCATCTCAAGCTACACACTTGAGCACTGTGGCCAGTCCCAGCGTTATTCTGCCAGCTTTTTCAGGAGGCAAGTGGGGTAGCAGATCTCTTTCTGCCAAGACCTTAGGAACAGATGTGCCAAGGAAGAGGCTGACCTCTTCCCCTTGAGAACCTATCAAGACACCTGCATAGCCAGTGGAGGACTTAAAACCAACCGACACTTGCAAGGAACAAAAAATTCATGGGACAGCGACTATAATTAAAATGTGTACCTGAAGTGTTAAACTCTCCGGCCAGTTGAATATTTGCAGATTGAAAATCTGACCAAAGTGAACTCGGAAGTCTGTCCCTAGTTGCCGACTGACCGTCCTGGACACCTCCTTGTTGTTGAAGAGCACCTTTAAGTACACTGAGCGCCTCTTTACATCTTCCCTTCGCCAAACCTCTGCCCTACAAAAAGAAACCATTTGCAAGAGGGAATAGCATTAATGTACTAAGGATTGCTGAAGTATTTGATAAATGGACACTGAACAGAACAAGGTACACTGGAGGCAATTCTGTCAGCCCCCGTTTAACCAAAATAGCATGGGTCTTACAGAGCTTACTGTAATAAAATATTGCAATGTGAACTTACGGAGAAGCCAACTAAGTAAACATATTCCTTGTTAAGTGGAGTGAATTTAAACCATAAGGGATAGTAATGATTTATATTTGGACAAGAAGTTTTATCCTAAAAATATAGTAGCATATTATAGCAGTTAGATTAAGTCTATTTCTCCAGAATCCAAGCTTTTTCTCAACATTTTCAGATAATAAGTAACTACACAATAGATACAGGCAGGATATCAAGTAATGTTCCTTATTTTTAAAGATAATTTGAATCATAGTCAAAGGTATGCTGGTACCTTGGAAAAGCTGGAGCATATCATTCTTATAGCCAGAAAGTTAAAAATAAATCAAAACCTCCAAAAGTAGTCTTTAATTTTATGGTATATGTTTGCAGAGATGCCCACCCCCAAATGCCTATTATTGGTTGAGGCAATAACAATTCAACTTGTTGAGGAAAGGAAAAGATTGGGGCATCAAAATCTAAAGCTCAGGTTGGTAGTTTATTTAAAACTGGTAGAACCACTGGTAAAACTGTGGGTGGTAGTTTATTTAAAAAAATTTTTTTATTGTAGTAGTAAAACATATATGACATAACATTTATCATTTTAACTATTTTTAAGTTTACACTTGAGTGGCATAAAGTGCATTCACAATGCTGTGCAACCATCATCACGATCCATCTCCAGAACTTTTTCATCATCCCAAACATAAATTTTCTAGCCATTAAACTGAGTGATAGTTTTAACTTTTTATATCTTTACAATTTAGACCTATCTCGTACAGGAAATTGCTCAAATCACTTCAGCATTTTTTCTATAAAGGACACTTAACACCAAATTGCAAAAAGTATCTAAGACACCCACAGACTTGGATTCCACTCATAAAAGATTACCAAATCAAGACCAGATTTTAAAAACCATGCTCTGTCATCACATATTTTGATTGTTTATGACAAAATTATGTGGCCTGGTATCTGTGGCTTGGAAATAGCTAATTTAGTGCTAAAGAATAACTTATGTATAGCATCTAAATATGTGAAGTTGAGAGAACACACAAAAATGCACAAGAAGCTACAATTTTAAAATAAATCAACCATTAATACCTTAAAAGAAGTTTGAAACCAAGAAGGTTGTAGTTAGTCTTATAATGACATCTTAATTAATCCCCATATACTAATGACCTTGGAGGCTGACTGCTTTGATTTGAATTCTCACTTTTTATGTTTGGAGATACCAGTCTATGATATTCATGACAGCTCTTCTGTTTACTGGAGAATGAAGCCTGGGATCTGGTGGTATCAATGATTTTAACAGATTCCCTTTAATCCATTCTGATATCCTATAACATGCATCAGAATCACATGGTGACCTTGTGAAAACACAGTTTTTGGGCCCCATCCCAGAGTTTCAGACTAAGTCTCAGGTAAAACCTGAGAGTTTGTATTTCTAACAGGTTCTTAAATGAGACTGATGCTGCTGACTCTAGGGCTATCCCTTGAGAACCATGACTATAAGGTATGGGGAATAAATAAGTAGGCACCAAATAAGAATGTCTATAAATATATTTTTGTGAAATCTGGAGGGTATGCTACAGGAGGCCTTAGATACAAGCTATAGGGCTCACCCACAGTTCCCTATGGGAGGCCTTCAAAGAGAGCAGCTGGCTCCAGGAACAGCTGAAATCAGGGTCAAGGAGAAGCCTCAGTGCCCATGCCAGGGAGGAGGGACATCCTACCAGTGGAGAGAAAAGACACATTGAGGTTACCGATAAGGGACCTAAACCAAAAGCCACACAGACAGCCACTGTGAAGAGTAGGCATAGATTTGTGACTGGGATTTTCTCCTACAGGCAGCTTTACCTAGTGTGCTCCTGAGCAGGCAGCGGGAATAGGTAAGTGAGCCATATGAAATCTCCTAACATGGGCAAATGTCAACAATTTCACGAAGTTCGACCTAATATGTATTTACAGAGAGTGACTGATTCTCCTGATCGTGCTGTTGCAGGTCAATAGATGCACACTCCACGTAGCGTGCACAAGTGGGCGTGCATGTACATACACGTGCCAGTGTGTCAGATGTCAGCCTCGCTCATGGCCAGAGTGTCCACTCACCTGGGGCACTGGTCGTTGGGCGTCACACTCCCCGCCAGGCTCAGCTCTGGGAGCAGCGTGGGCTCCCCAGGCCTCCTCCTGCTCTGGGCCGCTCTCTCCCTCACCTGCTGCTCCACCGCTGCCCGATCAGTGGGCTCCGGAGGGCTGGGCTTCACAGGGTCCTCCTCAGGGTACGGCTCCTCCGTCTCCTCCTCGGGATGTTCTTCTGTCGCCTGTTTCTTTTTCTTCTTCTTGGCCCTCTATTGGGTAAGAGGCAACATGATGTCAGACAGGAATTTTGGAATCTCATTTAAGAGCACAGTTGTCAGAGCCACATGGACCTGGATGTAAACTCCAGCCCCACCTTGACCAGCCGTGTGGACTCAGGCAGGTTACTAAGCCACCTGACCTCTCTGTGCCTCAGTCTTCTCACCTACAAAATGGGGACAAGCATAAGAAACTCCTCCCAGGGCTGTTGAAATGAGGATAAGGCACTTATGATAGTGCCTGGTCCCCAGAAAGCTTAAAAAACTGTTAGGTATTCATGTAATCATTGACACTGGGTCTCAAGGCCAACGACACATCTTGAAATTAAAATAAGGCTTGTGAACACTATGAGCATTGCAAGCCACCTTGCTCTATTAATTGTGCTGGGATTTGATTTTGCAGGGCCATGTGCACAGAGTTATAGAACTTTCTGAGGGAAACTCAGAAGCATCCACACCCTACATTCCATGGGATAATGCATGCAAAATACTTAGCACAGTGCTTGACACATGCCTGAGCAATTACTGTGTTATTTACTTGTTTTTTCACCCAGATAGTCACAGAGTGCTACCACAGCCCTATCTATGGACAATGCTGGCTCTGGTATCAGCTACATGGGTGGCTTTTTAAACAATGCATTTTAAACAGACGCATTAAGCAGTCACTTCACTAATCCTTTTGTCTCTTAGCCTGCCCTCCCTGACCCTGCCTGGTCAGGCCTGTGTTTACAAACTTGGGCTTTCTTCCAGGCTTTCCACTGCTGGTACGATGTTCTGTACTCTTCCATCTTCTGTTCATATTCCTCCGTGTGCTCTTCCAACAATTCACTTATTTCAGCTTGAATTTCTGCTTCATATGCTTCTTCATCTGTTTTCTGGTCAACTTTTTCCCTTTAAAATAATTTACAGTACCTTGGTTATTTCTTGAAATTAAGAGAGCAGTAACAACAGCAAATACTTATATTGGGCTTGCTATGTGCTGGTTCCTCTTCTAAAAGTATTGCATGTGTTAACACAACCTCATGAGGGAGAGTCTATTATTATCTGTATTTTATGCATGTGGTGACTGCAGCACAGAGAAGTTAAGTAATTTGCCCAAGAAGGCACAGTTGGTGAGTGGAGGAGCTGGAATATGAGTCCAGCCTATTGAACACTAAGCAATAAATGCCACTCTGAGTTAAACGACCCATAGAGTGTCCTCACATGGTGTCTGTAAGTTCTCAGCTGATGGTGATGGACATTTCAATAGTTATTTCATTAATTCTGCAAGTCTCTGAGGAATCACTTCATTTTGGTGGTACCATCAAACCACTTTTTTGACTTGGGATTGACGATTTTAGTTTTTCTTTGATGGTTTTGAAGACACTCCTTCAGGAGACCAGACCCAACCTAAACCAGTGTTTCCCACGGTGTGTTCTGTAGAACTTTCGTTCTGTGCTGTGTCCTACCAAAAAAGATGCTGTAGCCATATTGACACTAGATTTTTTTTTTTTTTTTGAGACAGAGTCTCGCTTTGTTGCCCAGGCTAGAGTGAGTGCCGTGGCGTCAGCCTAGCTCACAGCAACCTCAAACTCCTGGGCTCAAGCAATCCTGCTGCCTCAGCCTCCCGAGTAGCTGGGACTATAGGCAACACCACCATGCCTGGCTAATTTTTTCTATATATATGTTAGTTGGCCAATTAATTTCTTTCTATTTATAGCAGAGAGAGGGTCTCGCTCTTGCTCAGGCTGGTTTTGAACTCCTGACCTCGAGCAATCCACCCGCCTCGGCCTCCCAGAGTGCTAGGATTAACCGCACCCGGCCTTGACACTAGATTAAATAAATGTGAAAATGTCCTCGCTGGTCATCTTTGTATGTTAACGGATAGTGTGAATGTGGAGGTGGGGGTGGCAAACATGCAGCACCCCCAACCCACCCAGGACTTTGGAGGTGGTGCAACTTGGTGACTGCACTGTTGCTCCTACCACATCTGCCTTCCAAGTGCTACTCTCCTGAAGTCCCTCCCTCTGTTTTAGATAAATGTAGTCAGGTGCCTAGAGCTGACAAAGGTTTGCTTATGTCCATGTGTGGCCTGGTGGTTTAGCAATGAACAGTCCCCCAAGGCACAAGCTCTTGTTGATCTCTAGGATAACTACCAAAGAAATCACTTTGGACACATGGTGGTACCTGAAATTGATAAACATTGTGGAAATTTGGCCCCCAAATTATGCTCCATCTCTGATTCTACAGAGAACCATTCACTTTTCTCATTGTTATCCAGAAACATGAATAAACTATGAGAAACTTGAATAATTTTTATAGGAAAAAATTATGCTTTATCATAAGGTGGCTAGAGGAATCAAGAATGTGAAAAAAAGGACACTCCAGAAGAATTCAGGAGACAGCTACTTATTGGAGGAAGGGGTATTATGACCTTATGGGTAAATTGCTTATAAATTTAATTTATCCTATAAACTTAAGAAGGAAGGAAGAGAGGGAGGGACAGAAGGAGAGAGGGAGGGGCAGAAGGAGGGAGAAAATAATCTAGTGAAGACTTATATACTGCTTCTGTGGGAGGGGTAGCTTGGGAGATGGAATTTGGAAGCAGAAACACTGGAATTTCTGGGAGATATCATGGTTTTTCTAGGATAGAATATTTGAATTTGTTTTTTGTTAAACAATATTAACTAAGTCACAGGTGCTCTGTTGGGGACCAGATATAAAATAACAACAAGATCCTTGCTCTCAAAGAGCACACAATCATATGTTTGTCCTGCAAAGTGTAAATTTTTTTTTAGTTTTATGACTACAGCCCAAGAAAATCACAGTTGCAGCCATCTTTGGTTAAAATATGACTGTTTTCAAAGCAATGTGTCAGACGTATGCCTGAATTTGTTCTTTTTTGTGTAGACAAAAGGACACAATACTTATTCAGAAGAAACAAACAGGAAGGGACCAAGACCTACAGCAGAGATACTTTTGCATTAATACATAGAACATTGTTTTGTTGTGATGAACTGTACTCTTAGTCATATATAAAATTTTAGTGAATTAGGTAGCATAAATGTTATCAAAGCTTACTTTCTCCAAACCACAAAGATCAATTCCAAATGGATTAAGGATGCAATGTGAAAGATCAAACTATAGAGGTTATAGGAGATGATATCATGGAATGTCTACATGACTCAGGGGAAGGGTTTCTTAAGCAATATATAAAAAGCACCACTCATAGAGGAAAAGACTAATATATCTTTTTAAAGTTAAGAATTTCTATTCACCAAAAAACACCAAAAAGAGAGTAAAAAGGCAACGGCGGAGTGGGAGAAGATATCTGCAACATACACCACTGATAAGTTCTTATGTCTAGGAAACATGCAGAACTCTTGCAAATTACCAAAAAAAAAAAAAGACAAACAATCGAGTTCAAAAACTGACAAAAAGCCTTGAGCAGACACCTCACAAAAGATGAAATCCAAATAATCACGTGTGAAAAATGCTTACCCTCATGAATAGTCAGGGAAATATAAATTAAAACATGCCAGCAGATTAGCAGCATGTTAATGTTTGACCCCACCAGGTGACATGCATGATATGGACCTATGAGAACCTGGTGAATGTATAAACCAGCATAATCACTCTGGAAAATGTTTGGAATCAGCACATAAAGTTGGAGAAATACATCCCTTAGGACTCAAGAGTTCCACTTCCAGGTATATTTCTGGAAAACTTGGGCACATATATCCTAGAAGTCGAGTACAGAAGTGTCTATAGAAGTGGCATTTATAAAAGTTAAAAAATGGAATCAACTCAAATGCCGATCAACAGTAAAATCGACAAATTTTGCTATATTCATATAATGAAGTGTCATAACGAAAAGAAACTATGTGCTGTCAAGTAGCTGAATCTCTCGAACATAGTATTGAAGAAAAGAAACAAGTGTATATTCACTAATGAATGCACCCAGTACACTTATATAAAAGTCAAATACAGACAATATTAATCCACGTATTCTTAGGGAGTACACATAGATAGCAAAACTATAAAAGCAAGGAAACAATGACCTCAGAAGTCTAGATAGTTGTGACATCTGGAATGGAGGGGTGGTGTCAGGAAAGGAACAGGCTGGCTTGTTCATTGCTCAGGTACAGCAGTGTTCTATTTCTTTTTTTAAAATTTTTTAAAATATATATATATTTTTAATATTTTTTTTCCTTTACTCTCAAACTAGTTCCTGAACCTTGCAACACAAAAGTGATCATGCATCAATTCATTAAACACTTAATGGATGCCAATAAATAATGTAAATTTCACATGTAATAATATCAAATATACTAACATTATAGCCCAGATCTTAATCCCCTTCCCCAACATGACTTTCCTTTTTGTAAAAACTCCCCTCTCACTGTATAAATTCCGAATTTATAGATCCACATACAAAAATTATATATAAAATTTTCTTGGTATATATAATTTAAAAAGTCGAACTGTGGTGTATCTACCTGATTCAGAGATTAAAAGAAAATCGATCAAGGTTCTTATGTGATGATATTCCATCAGGAAATGATAGGGTATGTTTCCTAACTTAAAGCGCACCTTCCATTTTGAAAGAGATCCTCTGTCAACTCCTCAAAACCAACTCAGTGACAGGCAGGGCTACAAACCCCCTTTTACAGGTGGAGGTGCTGAGGCTCGCATTGATTAAAACAACTTGCCCTATATCAAAGGTTCTTATATGGAACTGAAAGCCCAGATACTCTAATTCAAAAGTTCCACATTATTTTTCACTGCCCTACATTTTACCGTTCTCAGCACAAAGCTATAAACATGTGCTTGAGGACACAGGGACGACAATAAGGGGAAGCAGAGAATAACGGCCCATAAACCTGAGGGTCTAGAGAGTGAGAGTAAGGGAGAGGGATGCCAGTTCTGGCTCTCTAGCACCCGCTGGTCACTCACAGGCCCGGGAGTCCCACCTGTGGCCTTCCAACAGCCAAGAGCAGAGAAGCAGCTTTCAGCCTACCCCTGGGACCTAAGAGGGTCCTGACCTGGGTCGACAGGTCCCCCGCCCGAATGAGCCCAAGAGTTCTCAGATGGCTCGAATTTACCAGCAAGCGAGGTTGGAGACTCGGCTAGAGCTACCCACCTTTTACCAGGGAAAATTGGTGTTCTATTTCTTAACCTGGGAGTAGTTACATGGTTATTCATTTGTAATTATTTTTTTAAACTGTAACCATGTTTTCTAGATTTTTCTCAACATATGATATAGTCCAATAAAACAATTTTTGAAAGAAAAGCTTACTTTCTCAAAACAAGTTTCAAGGGTGTATTTGTGAACCTCTGGAACTCTCGAAGGGATTTCATCTCCTTCCAAACTTTAATGATGGTCTTAAGTAACGTTCGGTCTCTTTCTTGTTCAGCATCCCGCAGTTTTCTTGTTTGCCTACAAGATACAATAATATACAAGTGTATGTTAAAAAGTTATATAGATGTGGCCGGGCACGGTGGCTCACGCCTGTAATCCTAGCACTCTGGGAGGCTGAGGTGGGCAGATTGCTCGAGGTCAGGAGTTTGAAACCAGCCTGAGCGAGACCCTGTCTCTACTAAAAATAGAAAGAAATTAATTCACCAACTAAAATATATATATACAAAAAATTAGCTGGGCATGGTAGTGCATGCCTGTAGTCCCAGCTACTCGGGAGGCTGAGGCAGGAGGATTGCTTGAGCTCAGGAGTTTGAGGTTGCTGTGAGCTAGGCTGATGCCACAGCACTCACTCTAGCCTGAGCAACAAAGCCAGACTCTGTCTCAAAAAAAAAAAAATAAATAAAGTGTTTTAGGAATTATTTAATGCCTTTTTGTAAGCCTTCTTTATGAATGATAGCCAAATCCAGACCTTGAATGCATTCTATCATGCTATTAATTAATTATGAGACAATCATTTAATTTTTGAAGAAGTACTAATATGCCATTCCAGGAGATTCAGAAGTGTCTAGGAGATAGGAGGTGTCTCTGTCCTTAGGGAGTCATCCTTTAGCTTAGAGGACAGACACGTACATAAATGTTATAACACAGTGTGAGATTTGTCTAAGAGAGGATCACAAGAATCCAAGGAGGCAACATTTTACAAATTAGCCCCTCATGACCTTCAGAAGGAAGGGCTGAGTCTGGAGGCTGTACTTATGATGACTTAGACCAGGCATCCTCAAACTACAGCCTGCGGGCCACATGTGGGCCGCCTAGAACATTTATCCAGCCCTCCAGATGTTTTTGCAGCTGCTGCCTGTCCTGCTTAGCAGCCGACTCGTCCCGGGCCCACAGTGCGCACTCTCCAACGGTTTGAAGGACAGTGAACTGGTCCTCTGTTTAAAAAGCTTGAGGACCCCTGACTTAGACTGTAGAGATGGTACAGAGAAGCAAGGAGGTCTAGGTTTCTAATCCATCAACTGGTGGCTGTGGAAAAGCAAGATGGCAAAAGATGACACAGCTAGGTAGAGGTTGGGCAGCCAAAGTCCAGGACTCTCTGAAGTCCTTATTTTTTAAATTTACTTTTATTTTTTATTTTTTTTCCAAAAAATTTTCCAGAGAATCTCTGAAGTCCTTAGAAGAGCAAGTGACAAACTAAAATAAGAAACATTCTCCTTGAGGGGCAGTCAAGCACCATGGTGAAGGGCGCAGTTGTTGGAGCCAGACTACCCAAATTTGAAGCCTAGTTCTATCCTTTTCTAGTTGGACTTGTGCAAGATGCTTCCCCTTGGCTGCTTCTGTATAGTAAGGATGCTGGAGAGCCGACTTCACTGGGTTGCTGGGAGAAGTAAATGAAATAATCCACATAAAGTGCTTAGAACCTTGTCTGATACCTGGTAAGTGGCCCACAAATGCTACCTGTCATGACTAGGTGGTCTCTTCTTCTCTTACACCTTCAGCTGCTAGATCCCCTGCCTCAGTTTTAAAAATTGCAACATAAAATTATTTTACTGAGTAACACAACACCTTCAAGCTTTCTGATATATTTGTTACTTCCCTTTTAATATCTAACAAAATAGTTTCCCGGAAATGCTAGAAAGAGGTCTTAGAAAGAAAAATTCGACATATAAGCTAAAGAAGCAGGGAATCACAAAAAATATTTGATTTACAATTGTGACCAGAGCTGCAGGGGAAGGGGGGAAGCCAATTTTGATTAGGGAGTGGGGAACAGTTATCTGAAGCCCAGTGTGGATGGCGTCTGGGGTACAGAGGGGACATTCAGCTCAGAGACGAAACTGACAGCTACTGGCATCTAGATAATACTTAAAACTCCAGAAGCGCATTCATCAAAAAGGTTAGGGAAAGAACAACATCTGAGGAATTCCGAACATTTATAAGCTGGGCAGAGGAGGAAGGTTAAGCAAAGGATGATGAGGACAGGCAGCTGGTGAGGGACGAGGACATCCAGGAGAGGGTGGTGTATGGAGAAGAAGGAATGACAACGTCTCGACAGTCAACATGTGGGGCTGGCGCCGGCGTCCAGAACTCAGAGGAGTCAGAGCTTCTATTCCACTTAGTTATGTGGAGGTTCCAGGGGCTGGGGTGAGATCTGCTTCAGAGGAAAGGTGAGCATAGAAGTGAGATAGGGTGGATTGGAGATAGGAGGGAGTGGAGACAGTCTGAATAGCAAATGTTCCCAGAGGTTTGGTGTGAAAGGAAATATAAAGTGATAGTTGGATGGGCATTCTGGGGTCATAGAATTTTTATTTGCTCAAGATCGAGCACATCTGAGGATAAAGACCCCAAGAGAGGGTTGGGTAAAGACTCCAAGAGAGGGTTAAAGTGTTTCCCTATATTTCATGACTATCCATGTTTCTCTACTTATATATCCTGGTTCCAGTTCAGAGGACAAGCAGTGTGGCCAGGACGCTGTTATGGAAGAGAAAATAGGAAGTGCTTAAAGCGGTGCTGGCCCAGGTTAACTGCACCAGCCGAGGGCTCGGCAGATAATCAGGGTGGGAGTTCTCCAGGGCAGCGGATCAGATCCCAGGGGGTTTGAGGAAGTGGGTCTGTATGGTGAGACATACAGGAACAGATCATCTGCCTAGAAACTGTTTTCGCACATAGTGAAAAGTCAGTAAAGAACTGAAATCTCCTCTTTTACTAGCTCATAAATGACGAATCTCAGAGGTGTGTCTCTAGGAGCAGCAGAATTATTGTAATGAGTCTGTCATTCGTGAGTCCACTGGGCTTGTCTATAGGCCTCACATATAGTTCTGCTGTTTTTCTGATTAATACTGATTAATAAATACAATTTCACATCGAACTATAATTGCTTTCAGAACAGCTTTTTGTCACCTTTTTCTTACCCAATGCATGCTCAAATAAAAATTATTCCCACAACAAGGCTACAATGTTTTCCTTTTAACATAAAAAATTTTGTCATTTTTAAACACAGTCTTCATACTTTTGCAATTATAGTATGCAAACTTCACTAATGTCCACTTTGCTGAAACAATTTCCAACTCATGGCTAGAATTGTAAGAAGAAAAATATGTTGATACTAATTGATTTATTATTTCCTATTCTAAGAATTTATTCTGTGGAAATACTCAAATTACAGGCACACAAATATATATATATATACACACATACACACACATATATATACGTACATATACACACATACATATTTAGAGAATTTTAATTACAGTGTGATTTAAATAATAAAAAATCAGAATAACACAAATGCCTATCAATTGGGGATTGTATAAACTAATGAGTTTAAATAATGCCTGCCTTTAAACAATGGTAGAGAACTAGATGTACTAAAATAGGAAGAGGTCTCAGATGCATTGCATATAAAAAAGCAAGCTGCAGAATGGTATATGCAATATGATCCCTCTAAGAAAATAAAATATAAATACATGAGCACATCTATGTGTGTAAATGTGTGTGTATGCATGTATGCAAGCTACTGGTGTCTTACTTTTGTGGGTATTGCTGTTCTCATTCTTGCACACATCACCATGTGCACAGGCAGATGGAGCTCCTTAGGGTACACACATATAAAGAAGAATTGCAGGGTCCAAGCTGTTAGGCATTTTCAATACTTTACTAGTCCATGGCCAAGCTGTTCTCTAAAGTGGTGGTTGTAGCAATTTTTGTTTACGCCTGTAGAGTATGAGACTGACCGTTTCCCCACATCCTCATTCATGTTATCGGATTTCAAATTTTAAATTAATATGATGGATGCATCTCATTATTTTATTTGGCATAATTTCATATGTATTGAGTGAATTTAGAAAAGCTATAAACTCTAAACAAGCGCATATCTAAGGGGGAAAAAATAGTAGTTACCAATTATAAACTTTACTTACCGAATTTCAGATTTATACTCATTGATGGTTTTTTGGATTGTATCAAGAGACTGATGAGGTTTTTCTGGATTAAGGCCAGTCTGAACAGCATTTCTTAGAGCTTGAAGCTTAAAAAAATATGGATATAAGTTTTGAGTTAGAAACTCTATTGCCTACTGCAAGCAAGGTAAGTAGACCTACCCCCTTCTGGGCACAGTGGTGCCAGCAATCTGTGAACAGATATTCAAGCATCCAGCTGTCTCCAGCTTTCATCAAAATGAACTGTGACAAAGAATGTTTTATCTGCTTTTAAAAAAACTGGAATAATAAAGAATAGTGTATGTCTATCTTTGTTCTGTGGCCCTGATAATCAAGCCACTCATGACAAATATTACTTTCACGTGTGTGTCTTAGAAATAAGTTTTCTTGTAAAGCTAACAGTGGGTCTCTCTGGGTCCTATACATACAATGCTATTCCTGTGATATGAAGAAATCATAAAATTGTAGACTCACAAAAAGAGATATTGTGAAGTTATCTCTTATTTGTGCAGTGAAGTTCTAAAGTTGGGACGTGAGACCAAAATTGCCCATAGTCAAAATGATCCATGAAAATGCCATGAGATAATGTCATGTTGGAAATAAATGCAAACTGGATAGCCATTTCTTTGAGCATTAATTGAAGCAAGTGACTTGTGTTTAGGTGCCACACTGTGGGGAAATACATATGAAAATGAAAATGCCTCCAAGGCCAGAGGGATTCTCAAGCCACCAGTGGTCTCAGGACCTAGGTCACATAAGCAAGTAATAGCCACGTATCTTCCACCTAACACCTACTTCTGTGCTCACTCATGCTGTTTGCCTAAATTTTTCTCTTTAAGGCAAGCGTGTGGTAGTGAATTTGCATGTTTTAAATGTACACCATGTCTATCCTCCTTTTTGCCTCTAGGTAGGACAATGTATCACACATCCTAGATAGAGGGAACACACAGATGAGGGGCATGAACATTTTGCTGCTAGAAAGTATTTTCATTGTTTGGTCTCATTGAAAGAACCGACCCCACCAATAAGCATGGAAGAGCTCATGTATACCTTATCAGTAAGAAACTTTGCCTTGTTTCTCTGGTGTCTTGCAAGGTACTGATCATATAACTGGGCCAGCTTGGCTGCCAAGACATGCTCTCGGCTAAAACAGGGATGATGAGTGAATATTAACCCTGAAATATCAATGTCCAGTTGGAAATTTCCAGCAGGGTCTCCAGATCCAATCATATGCTGGCTACGGTGGACATATTTCACTGCCTGCCAAAGAGAGCAGAGTACGGATGGAATATAGTTAAAGCACTTACTAGATAATGACGCTCTAATCCACAATGGGAAAATGGTCAGGTGCAAAATACCTCATATCCTGGTCAAGTCAGGTGGAAGATGCTTGATTACCTGTTTGCAGGTTTTTGGGGCCTGCTCTTTTTTGAATACTTGAAAAGAAAAATGAAAGACCAGGAGTGAGAAGAGAAACCACCTCCATCTCGCTTTTCTACATCTTTTTGATTTCATTACTCTTCTAAGTCATAGTTCTAATGATTTTTGTGTAGATGATCCTGTTTCTTGAAATCTTGGGTTTTATAGCTTGTGACCTTGAATTCTTTTGATGAGACAAGCATAGATTCTAGTTCAAACTGATCATTATTTGGATCATAGATATACTCCTGTGTAATGAAAATTTTAAAACATGGAGAAATCTTTATTTTGTAGACAGCAGCAAGAGACTAGCTTTGACTTAACCAAGCTCCATGTTGCCACCCATTTTACCTGGAGGAAGGAAGGTGGAATGCGAGATGACAGAGGAAGGGGGTGTGTACCTGAGTGTGTGGAAAACAGAAAGGGAAATTTCCAGTGGGGATTCTGGGATTGCTTGGTGTATAGTGTATCAGATAGATTTCTCTGTTTTTCTTTCACAAAATCTTCAATATAATCTGCCTTGATCACTACTGCTATTGTGGTTGGAAAGTTCAAAGGTAGAGAGGAGATATCTCTGATTTTGGGTCTTTATTTTCTCTCCTCATTATAAAGACTGACTATAGTCAGGATGTGGTGGTTGAGACAGGTTATTCGATCCTTTCCTTTTACAGAGATGAGCTTTGGAAGCTATTTATTTTATCTAGAAAATGATAACATAAAATCACGTGGCACAAATGTATTATTAACAAATTATGGGGTTAAATGGAAGTTGTAAAAACTCTAATCAGAATTAAAGGTTTCATTCATCTTAAATTGTGGGTAACATCTTCAGTAATCTCTTCATTTAATTCTTTTGCATGGTAAAGATGCTGGATTTAGGCCAGAAGCCTTGGATTCTAGCCCTGGCTCTTCCTTGTACTTGCTCTGAAATCTTTGGCAAGTCACTATACTTCTCTGGGCCTCTATTTTTTTCATCTGTACAAATGATCGGCTGAGGAAAAAGATTCAATTAACATTTTGTAGATCACCAGGCATGATATCAAGCATTTCACATATGTCATCTCATTTATTCAACAAAGATTAATGGATATCTACAGTGTAGTAGATAGAGCCTGTCTTCAAGCAGCGATGAATTTAGAGGGAAAGACAGTCTTAGCATCTAGAAATGTTAAGCCTGGAACGTGCCAAGAGTGGTACAGAAATCCAGAAGAGGGGACTGTAGCTAACATTATTCCCTATCAGACTAAGAACTGAGAAGAGGGGGTATACATTGTGAATGTCTGTGTGTGTGTATACATGTATGTACATATAGAAATGTATTCCCATTTGTTTTATACTGTGAGCTGATTTTCGGTTACCATTAGTCATCAGAATAGTGACCAATATTTGCATTTACAGTAGAGCACATACATATGCATCTTCATTTACCAGTTAATTTGTCATTGTGTTGTGTTGTTGCCTACTTTGTACTAGTTTTCATAGGTAAGAATATATGAGTTTATTTCATTTTAGCCATTCAATTTTATATCTTTTCCCCCCTGGATTAGTGGACTGTTAATATATATTTAGGACTTTTGGTTTTCTGTAGGCCTATGATATAGTGTATCCTACATTTATAATAATAAAATATCAATTTTATCTTACAAATAACATTCAGCCTATCTTTGATGAGAAGATCTAAAGATTTTTTTATTTAAAAAAATGTCCCTATAAAACTGGGATATGTTTACAAATATTTTAGGCTTGAATAGGAATAGATTAACTATATCTCAGTACTTTCCGAAATATGCTTAATTTCCTGAATCTGCTTCTCAAATCTACATTAGCCCCTGTTTCAATAACTGCTGGCAGTCTCTGTCTTAAACTCAGCTCAAGCAAGTATAAAAAGTTTCCGAGATTCCTAGTAGTCATTAGGCTAGACTACTCAAAGGACTCCAACTCCTTTTTTCAGTAGGGAAAAAGGCTCCTAGTTCCTTGTCTTTCTTTTTGTTTTCCTTTCTTATATATTTAGAATTATCATGAAAACAGTAGCAACAATTTCTCCCAAGAATCTTCACTTGGATTTATAGGAGAAAAGACCCCTCTACATGGATCATTTTACTCTGATCTTTTGTATCTTATTAAAGCCTTGTGCCCTCTGTGGTCTATCAGAGATCAGTTCTGATCATTAATATTCTTATAATTCAGACCGCAACAATGGAGGGCCATTTCTTTTCTCTGTCATTTAAGTGAAAATATTCAATTATAAACTACATTAGTGTTAGAAGCATTTAATCTGCATGTGGCCATTGTGTATCTTATGACAACTTATATTACCTGGATTAATTAAAAATTTCCACCTCACAAAGACATGTACAACTAAACATCAATCCAGAGACAATGGAACATTCCTCTTTAATTGCTTTGCATCTGCTAGTTCTTGCCTTTCCTCTTGCCAAAAGGTTCCAGAGTTATGAGATCACTCAGGATGTGGCTCTCAGGTTCTATCTTGTACATGAGTAAGTAACGTTGGTAGAATGCTTCTATTTATTTGTAATGTTATTTAGGTCACACGTACTTTGCACCTCCTTCCCCAAATCTGCATTAGCCCATGTTCCAACAATCGCTGGTGATCTCTACCTTAAGCTCAGCTCAACCAAGTACAAAAGTCTTCCAGGATACTTGGTAGTCACTGGGCTAAACTGATCAAAAGACACAGCTGTCTTCTGATGAAAGACTCCTAGTTCCTTGTCTTTTTCTTTTCGTCGTGTCTGTTTTAACTTCTTATATGTTGAGAACTATCATGAAAATAGTATCAATAGTTTCTCTCCAAGGAGAGAGAATTTTCGTAGAACATATTTTAATTTTGAAATTGATTTGATTCTTGTCTTTAATTGAAACTGAAAACCAAAAAACTATAAGAGGTGATGAGTATAGATTATTGATGTTCTCAGCACGTGCAGAGATACATACCAAGGGAGAAAAAAAAATTAAATGTTATACAGAAAAATAATAATCACTGGTGAGATTAAAATACAAGTTTCTACATTTGCCCTGGAAAAATAATAGCAACAAAGCTCGAGTCTAGCCCAGAACCCAAGGCAGATTCTATAGCCTTTATTCTTGTCTTCCCTGAGAAGCTTTCTTATTTCCTTTCTTCTGAGAACATGCCATGTCTCCGGGTCATGAGGGGGTGGGTACATTATCTTCTTAACAACTGAATAGCCTTCATTTTTGGTACTGATAATGTAAAATAGGCAGAAAAATATGATCCCTTCCCTCTGGAGTTGTTAGGCATAGGCTATCAGGGGTCATGTCTTCTAATATGTGGACAATTCTCACCTGCCTGCAACAGGAGAGAGTGAGGCCCATCAACATTAAGGTGGACTAGAGAAAAGAGGTGGAGAGAGAGCCTGCTGGCATTGAATCCCTGGTCCCAGCCTCTGAGGCCCTGTTTCCTGAAGCTCCTCCGTCAATTTTGTGATTCATTCCCAGATCCTTTCCAGTTTTGTGAGCCACCAAGTTTCCCCTTGCTTAAGCTAGTTTGCATTGGCTTTCTGTCATTTGCAGCAGAAAGAGTCCTGGGCAGTGCAGTGCTTAGAACACAGTGGGTGAACGATGCTTCTATGAAAAACTGGTGAGAACAGTGGAAGGGGAAAGTGATAATTTTATCTAGGGCACTACCAAGGAGGTTGGAATCATGGTACTTTCCTCCAATGGGTATGCGGTTCTGACAAGGGTGGATACCATGCAGCACAGGGGCTTTTCATTCCCAGATCCTTTCCAGTTTTGTGAGCCACCAAGTTTCCCCTTGCTTAAGCTAGTTTGCATTGGCTTTCTGTCATTTGCAGCAGAAAGAGTCCTGGGCAGTGCAGTGCTTAGAACACAGTGGGTGAACGATGCTTCTATGAAAAACTGGTGAGAACAGTGGAAGGGGAAAGTGATAATTTTATCTAGGGCACTACCAAGGAGGTTGGAATCATGGTACTTTCCTCCAATGGGTATGCGGTTCTGACAAGGGTGGATACCATGCAGCACAGGGGCTTTAACACCTGATTCCAATTGTCCATTCCCACCAGGGCACAAAGTCTCTCTAAGGCCAAGTTCGAATGCTGCTACCTCTGTCTTCCCAGAGTTCGGCACAACTAAGAATACAGTAGACTTTCGTAAAAATGGAAAGAATAAAAAAGAAAGAAATGAAAAAGGAAACAGGGTTGGGGGAAGAATTTCATTTTATATTGTTTATATTTTACCTGCAAATGTCCCATTTGGCATTTTTATTTTTTAGTTTTGAATTCCTTCCTTCTTAAAATATATTAAATTGCATTCTTTCTCATTTGAAGTTTAACTTTTTTCTTTGCATAATATCTAATCTCTTTTTACCTTTCTTTTTCTTTAATGGTCTCTTCTCAATGTAGGAACAGCAAAATATTTCACTTTTAAAAAATACCTTTGTTTGTAGTATAGTTCAAAGTCTGGTAATGTAAAAGAAAAAAATAGAAAAATTAAATAAAATATAAATTAAAAAATTTAATAAAAAATACCTTTTTCTCTCTATAATTAAGAAAAGTATTCAAAAAGTAGGGCTGAATACCAACTCCCTTCTAAATAAAACTCTTAAATTATCCAATGGGAGGGCACAGAATCCCTCATTTGAGTTGAGTCTAGTATTTTTAACCAAAGAAGAATTGGACTTGATTCTAATGGGGAATTGGCTTAGGTTAATCCTACTGGGTTGAGTTAGCATCAGGCCTGAGAACTCAGAGACATAAATCCATCAAGCCTTGTTAAGGGCCCAAGGAATTGCCAACTCCTGATTTGGCACTCTGACTTGGTTTCTTATCATTTAGATACCAGGATTAAGCCAGGCTCTAAAGAAAGCTACTCTTTTGCAGGAGAGACAGCTGAGTCAAAGAGAGTAGTAGAAATTTCTTCTAAATACACTCAGCAAAATCATTTTAATGATATTCAGTTTGCACTTTTATTAAGGTATTTCTATGTGCCAGGCCCCTAGCTAAGTGCTAGAGTTGAGAAGAGGCATATAATTCAGTCCTGGCCCCTAAGTCACTCTTAGCATAGCCTGGGAGGGAAAAAGAAAATCGATTAACCATCCATGAACAAAACAATCTCTGCATGTGGATCTATTTCTCTGCTCCAGCGTCATGTCAGTAACTTCTGTATGGAAGGTCTGTTTGGACATAAGACTGAAAATATAGCTTGTATGCACTTAAAACTTTTTGTTAAAGGCAAGCCTATTGCATGGAACAGTGGAAAAACACAGTTTTTAGCATCAGACTTGAATAAATATAGGAAAATGTTAAAATAAATAAATAAAATTGTAAAAATATTAATTCTGAAAGAAAAGCATTGTGTTTTGAATCACTGGAAGGTTGTATAATCACTTTAAAAAACTGAGGTATACAAATCAACAATAAACATAGTAGGTAACCTGTTATAGAAAAACAAAGAGATAGGTATAATATCTTCTCTGTCAGTAATTTAAACCCTTTTGCTTCTTCCTTATGCAGTCTAATTCATTCTTCATAGTTTACTATGTTGAATGCCCAGCCCTCTAAGAAACATCGTTGGATAACTACAGCCCCTTTGGACTTCTTTCTTCTCTGACTTCTCTTGCCCTGTAATACTTTATGACAAGCCCCTTTCAGTAGAACTATTCTTTCTTAACTTCCCTTTTTCTGCCCATAAGGTAGGAAGATCTCCCTTCTCAAAAGAATTGCAAAGAAACCCTCTGTCCTGTTCTAGCCACTCTCTCATTGCCACTAGCTGTTTCCCAAGGGAGAAGGAAAAGTATTCTCACTGGAGGGTCTGCGGGAGCCCAAGATCCTTAGTCCAGGTTCTCTACCAGGCAATGTTGAGTGGTGGCCTCTGGCTGTCCTGTCTTGGCTGTCCCCAAGGAGAGCTTGCTCACCAGCCCTTGTGGTCTCCTTGGCACTCACCAGACTGGTGCAGCTGCTCAGGTTGTTTGCAGATGGGGAATATCATTCACGGGAGATAAAACAGGAAACCCATCTGCTTTTAGGACCAAGAGGCATTCTGCCCTCCTGTTTTACCCTTATGCAAGGGGTATCTGCAGACCTCTCTGACTCCAGTGTATTTCCAAGTTAGTTTAGAACTTTTATAGAAGACAGAGCAGATTAATTGGCTCCCTCTTATCCTACAATCCATACTAATTACTCTTCTGTTTTCTATTTTTAACCAACCATTTAGTGCTTCATTATATCAGTGTTTTATGCTGAAATGGATAGATGGATGAAGATATAGACTGATGGGTTGTTTGATATATGAACAAGTTGATACTATCTTGATCACTAATTATATCATGTGTCTTTGTCATGTAACCAAGTAGATAATAAATCCTGCAGGGGCTGGGGCTTATGTTTATGCTTGTTTTATAAATCTACTCCCAGGATCACATTTCTGTACAAAGTAGCCAGTCATTAATACTTGTCTACAATAACTTTATAGAAATCTATAATTTTTAAAAACAGCATACTCAGATCTATCATCTCAATACTCACAATGACCCTCTGAAGTAGAAAAGATTAGTATTATTATTTCTATTTTTCAATTAAGGAAACAGGTCCAGAGAGGAAAAGGGACCTGTCCAAACCCACGAACTAATTAGTGAGTAGGGCAGAATGACTCCACTGAGCCTCTGCCTCTAGCCTGTGTCTTCTCTGCTCATCTCCCTGCTTTGCCCCATCATTCTGTTTTACTTTATCAGTATTGAAATGTTACAAAGTTAAAATAACATGGGTTTCTGAAGGAGCTGGTCCCAGGAAAGCAAGGGTAACATAAATACGAGGCCAGGCAACTGTGTCTATGTAATGACAGCCAGCGGTTATGCATTATCGCATTTGATCTACACAGCCATCCTAGGTCAACACTGTTATCAAGAAGAAACTGAGGCTGGGCGCGGTGGCTCACCCCTATAATCCTAGCACTCTGGGAGGCTGAGGTGGGTGGATCGCTCGAGCTCAGGAGTTCAAAACCAGCCTGAGCAAGAGGGAGACCCTGTCTCTACTAAAAATAAGAAAGAAATTAATTGACCAACTAAAAATATATATACAAAAAGTTAGCTGGGCATGGTAGTGGCACATGCCTGTAGTCCCAGCTACTTGGGAGGCTGAGGCAGTAGGATCGCTTAAGCCCAGGAGTTAGAGGTTGCTGTGAGCTAGGTTGATGCCACGGCACTCTAGTCCGGGTAACAGAATGAGACTCTGACTCAAAAAAAGAAGAAACTAGGGCACAGAGAGGTTGAAAGCCAAGTTCACCCAATGAGTGGTAAAGAACTCAAATCAGGCAGATAGGTCCCAGAGCTTGGGAAAATACAATAAAAAGGATTTGCAAGCATAGCAAATCTTCAGTTATACAATAAAGAGACGGCAAGTGGGAAATAGTCCTGCAGCAAATGTGAGATGACAGAAGAGAAAAGAGAGGGTAAAAGAAGAAAAATAAGAACAGCTAACCTGGATGTGCAAAGGAAGATGCTGACTCAGGCATTCCTGGCTGGTGAACTTAAGCTGGTTTAAGAAGGGATTAAGTGAGCAAAGTCAGACTCGCTCTTACACAACATGCCTGCTGTTTGTTCTTTTTGTGTAAGATAGTGAATTATTAAAAAATAAATAAAGTAGAATGTTATAAATCATCAGCCCAAGCTATTCAAAAAGCAAAGAACTTTCAACTTCATATATTAGAAATGGAAAGGGTTAGAGTGTCTACCTTTTTATACAATGTTTCCAGTTCTGCCTTGATGCTTTGCTCCTGCATGAACACTGGGGGCCTTGAAGGAAACGGCTTGATGGGGTTTGGCAGGGCTAGGATCCGGCCATCGTCTCCAAACCACCTTCGCCCCTGTGGATCGAGGAGAGGGAAGGACATTTTCTTCTAATTAGACGGAAAGTGGTTTACATAACAAACAACATTCGTAGGAAAATTCTCAGTCAACATATACATTTCATGTTCTTCCCCCACCCCAGTTGAACTTTAAAACCCTCTATTTCTATCAGAAATCAAGTTTTCTTTGTCTGAAGACTTATCCTTTGCTGTTAAAAAAAAAAAAGGAAATAAAATGTATGTAAATAAAATAATATGTAAATGTAATAACATGTAAATATGTAAAATGTAATAAAATGTAAATAATATGTAAATGTATGTAAAATAAAATAATATATAAAAGAAATTTAAGATTAAAAAAAAAGAAGAAATCAAGTTTTCACTAACACCTCCCCCCCTCAATTAATTTAAGAGATAGTCCGTGGCCCCCAAAAAAGTTTAAGAAAAAGCTTAAGTGAATCCTTAAGAAAAAATATCTTTTCCATTCATTAAATATTTAAGGAAAAAAAAAAAGACAGGACAAAATCTTGAAATCGAGAACATTCTATATATAAGCAATTTAAAAATTCTGTGAGTTGGGAAAAGTTGCCAGCATCCAATTTAGCAGGAGAAGCCCAGATCCAGCTAGCAGAAGATGGGTTTTGAGCAGTTGAGAGGTTATGTCATTTGAGGATCACTAAATATACTGAGAGATAAAGTTAAAAAGCAAAAATGAACCACTTTCTGTAGACTTAAGAGGAACCACTTTCTGTAGACTCATCTAGAGGAAATGAGTACAGTGGATGCAATGACTGCCCCATCAGGAAGAAAACTTGTGTGTCGAGGGTGCCTGGGCTGCGCTTGGGAGCAGAGATGAATACTCACAGACTCCTGCGTCAGCAGTCTGTTCTCCATGATGTTCTGATTGGTGCGTGCCACCTCCGGCCTTTCCCCAATGTAAAGGCCTTCGTCTTCCAGGAATCTGGGCTGTACATTTTCAGGAAGCTTTTTATAGGTAGGCACTAGATGGTTCATAAATAACACAAACATTATTGCCAACCTACTGCATTTTGGTGAATTAACTACCAGAGATTTCGTTTATGTTCTTAGAAACTGCATGTGTATTGAAGGAATGTTTTTTCCATGTTCTGTATTTTTTGTCTGAAGATATTGCTCGATTATTAAGTCACATTAGAAACTGGAATCAGTTGTGGAAAGGAGGCATCCTTATACAGCAGCCCTATCTCATTAGAAGGAAAATGACAGTGTCTTACGTTGGGCAAGAGAATAAAAAAGAGCAAGTACCTGTCAGCCTGCTGGGTATGAAGAGCATTTCCTTTTCCCTCTGCAGCCGCACATGGACGCTTTCATAATGTGCAGGTCTGACTGCCAGAAACTCATCAGCCGTGTGATCTAAGCCCAGTAGGAAGTCCTCGGCATCTTTACCGTGAAGCAGCTCTTCCTCATCCTGCATAACGTTAGAAAATAACAAGGAAAAATCATGCTAAGATTCTTAGTTTACTTAGGAAAATAATCAATGATACTAAACTCATCGAAAAACATATTCTATATATTTTTCTTTCTTTTAATGAAAGCATAAAACTATATGACCTTTCATATTTAGTAAGTGGGTTTTCATGGATTGTTTTTCACTGTGCTATGCACTGGGAAGATGTCGAAATCAGAGAGACTGGATCAGAAGAAAAGTGGTAAGTAAAGCAGTTGAATTCCCAACAAATCTGGCCTCCTTTGAAGGTGCTTATTTTTTTGACATTTATTTAAGGAACTTGGGCTCCTAAATTATGTAGCAGTTGAACCTTCCCACTGGCACCAACCCAACAGAAAAGGCTCCAAGTAGGAACAGAGTCCACAGACTCTGCTCAGACTGCCTGGGTTTGAATCCCGGCTTCAACTCATACTGCTTAGGGGGCTTGAGGGAACTTATTTAACCTACTATTCCTCAGTTTCCTCAATTGTAGGATGGATATTTTAATAGAGCTTATCTCTTAGCACTTTGTGAGGATAAAATTAAATGATGCATGTAAAAATCCTAACCATAGGGGTTAAATCACAAATGTTAGCTGAAGTATATTAATTTTATTTGAATATTTTTCAAACTTTTCCCCTTCTCTTTCTTTTTTTCCCCTTCTCTTTCTCCTTCTTCCTCTTCTTCTTTTTCTTTTCCCTCTTCTTTTAAATAATTAAACCTGGTATCCACTTATGAGCAACATCTTTTAAAATCCTGTGCAGACTTCCAGGTAGCTGAAGATGATGGTGGTAGCCTGGCTACCTGCCTCCTAATAATTTCTCCCCTAGTGCCCAAAACAATGAGGGAAAAGTAAATCTACCTGGAAACCGTGCTTTCAACATAACCTGAAGACAGAGAAATGCCAAAACATCAAAAAAAAGTAAAAAGAGAAAATCAGCAAATAGCAGTATGCAATCTTCCTTGCTCCTAGCTTCTCAACTCTGCTTTGTGGAGAGCAAAGTTAGATTGAGAAAAATCTCAATTGAGATTGAGATCTCAAATCTCAATTGAGAAAAAGTGCAAAGAAGACAGAAAAGCGAAGCTAGTAGAGGGGACTATGGATGATCTAAAACTTTATTCAGAAAGACTACATCTACCTTGAGTATGAAAATACTGAAAAAGTATCTGGGCAGGCAAGAATATGCATGGACTACAGGGAAGGGCTTCAAAGTATGTGTGATTTAAAGGGCAGTTTTAGAAACAGCTTCTGGAAAGTAAAAAGGCAAAAGGCAAGTGAGAAGTGGCCTTGGAGAAAAGTGTCATGATTTCAGAAGATGCCTACAGATTGAGACTTCTACTTTCAAAAGGTGGAGCCTAATTCTCTTCCCTTTGAGAGAGCACACTACTTCATGACTTGCTTCAGGAATATGGCAGAAGTGATGGTAGGTGACTTTTGAGACTAGGTCCTAATAGGCACTGTGGCCTCTCCCTTGGGTTCTCTCCCAGATCACTTGCTTTGGTGGAAGCCAGCTGTCATGGTAGGAGGACACTCAAGCAACATCATGAGGAGGTCCACACGGCAAGGGTCAATGAGCCACCTTGGTAGCCAACCCTCTACTCTCAGCTTGCAGGTGAGTGCAGTGTTGGCCATTCTGTCTGTACCCTCATGAGAAATCCTTATGAGAGAGCCAGAGCAAGCTGAACACTGATTTATATAATAATTGTTATGAAATAAGCTGAAATATTCCCAAGCTTCTGTAGACCTAGGTAAGAAGATACATTTCTGGGAAGCATCTTTCAAGGGAGGAAATTATAAGTTAAGCACAGAAATAAATATGTCAACTATGTAAATTCTGGAATGTTCTCGTATGTTTTCCTTTTTTTTTTTTTAAATGTGGTAAAATACACATGACTTAAATTTTACCATTTTAACCATTTTTAGGTGTATAGTTCAGGGGCATTAGATATATTCATGTTGTCGTGCAACCATGGTCACCATCCATCTCCAAAACATCTTATCTTCCCAAAATGAAATTCTGTACCCATTAAACAATAACTCTCCATCCCCTAGTTCCCCCAGTCCCTGGCAACACTATTCTACTTTCTGTCTCTATGATTTTGACTACTCTAGGTACTTCATATAAGTGAAATCACATAATATTAGTTCTTTTGTGACTGGCTTACTTTGCTTTTCATAATGTCTTCAAAGTTTATCAGTGTTACAGCATGTGTCAGAATCTCCTTCCTTTTTAATGTTGAATAATATTTGGTTATATATATATAACGCATTTTGAATTTTGTTTATCCATTTATCTGTTGATGAACACTTGGGTTGCTTCTACTTTTTAAACATTTTTTTAAAAATTTTCATAAATTAATATTTTTTCTTCATTTTTCTGGGAAAGCAGAATATTCTTGTGGTCTCAAGCTTCTACCTTTTGACTCTTGGGAATAATGCTGCTATGAACATGAGTGCACAAATATAATGTTCAAGTCCTTGTTTACAATGTTTTTGGGTATATATTGTAATTCTGTGTTTAAATTTTGAAGAACCACCATACTGTTTTTCACAGCAGCTGTACCATTTTACATGTTCACCAGCAGTGCACAAAAGTTCAATTTCTCCACATCCTCTACAACGTTTATTTTCTGTTTTTTGTTTTTGGCTAATAGCCATTCTAATGGGTGCAAAGTGGCATTTCATTGTGGGTTTGATTTGCATTTCTCTAATGATTAGTGATGTTAAGCATCTTTTCATGTGCTTATCGGCCATCTGCATATCTTCTTTGGGGAAATGTCTATTCAATACCTTTGACCATTTTTTAATGGTGTGTTTTCCTTTTATCTCACGCATACCACCCATAATTATAAAATCTGAATTGCAGCCTGGGCATGGTATTGGGCACACAAAGCTGCTCACTTGTAAGACTGTGGGAAGAGAGAGACCGAGGTTTCGTTTGCCTTGGAGAGGCACACATTTTGCATGTTAAATGAATACTAATCACCGTGTGGAGTCCAGAAAGAAAAATCCACAAGCCACATTATTCCAATATTTTTTTTCCACAAAAGAAAGATAGACAGATTTAATCAAAGTCCTTACTACCCAAATTGTGGGGTATATTCAAGAGCTACAGAAAACCACGTGAATGTGGTAGATGGGTTGGTCTGTGTGGTGGTGGTGGTGGTGGCGGGTTTCTCCCCAGCCACTTTCTTCCTTGGGGGATAGCGCCATCATCATTTTTCCTTGAAGTGCTCCTCCCCTCCCTGTTACCATCACGGTATGAAATACCATTCTGTTGGCTCCTTCTTCTGTAGGTGGCTCTTCCTCCCCTTCCTCCTCCTCTTGGTGAGTTCCATCTCCATGTTTTGGCTTTTCCTCTGCTTCCTCTGGTTCAGGATCAAAGGTGAAAGTAAAGAAATTATAGGCCTCTTCTGCAGAAGGGAAACCTGGTGGAACCTAAGGAGAAGCAAGGAGCAATAGCAATTTCTGATTTTTAAAGTGAAATGAAATTTGCACAGTTAACTGACAGCTGGCTTGACGCTAATGACATCAGGCTCATTCTAGGCCTCCTAAGCGTCTTATCTTTGTTAAAGCCTTGAGATTACTGGAAATGAACTGTAACAGGTACAAGAGGTGGTTGGAAGCCTCCTTTAATAGTAACTCTAATTAGTTACTTTTTAAAAAACCAGCAAGTATTTACAGTCCAATAAGCACATAAATATATTATTTACAGAAGTCAATGCTTCAGAATAGATTATTAAAAGCCAAAAAGTGGACTCATTGTTTTAAATGCCAATGCTGAGATAGTTTTAATTATGAGAAACACAGGATGTGATAACGTTTTCTTTAAAAAAAAAAAGACTTTTAAAAAAATTCTTCTTGAGTTAATAGTCTTCTTTTATTTCCATGATAAATGCTGGTGCAATTTTGGAACTGAACAAATTGTCCTATCACTGACATTTCCTATTTTTCCATGCACTCCTACTTCCTTTCCTCAAATCAGGCAGTATCTATAATTTCTCTAGCTAAATTTCAGGATTTTCAAAGTAGGAATTATTTCTCACACTTTTTTATTACATACTCCATGGAAATAGGAGTCAGGTTATGTATGTAGTCATTTCTTCTTCTTCTTCTTTTTTTTACAGACACACATCTGCTTTATGTAGTCATTTCTTATTGGATATTTTTGAAAAACACAAACAGACAAACATGATTTAAAAAGATGGGATTTCTTACCTGGGGTTTAGACTTGATTTTTCGTGCAGAAACATGGAACTTCACTCTTGCATAACTTTGGGTGTCATCTTCTTGTTGAGTGCTTCCTACCTCTTTACCTGACTATATGAGTGGAAAAAAATGGATAGATCAACCATTTAAATCAAGAAACTTAGTATGTTCTAAAATGAGGGTTAACCCTCCAAAGGCTTATTATCTTCTGGACTGTTAATTCATCTCATTATTACTAAGGAATGAAATGCTTACAAATTTCCAATACAGTTGGGTACTGTACTACATAATGATGGACCGCATTTATGATGGTGACCCTGTAAGATTATAATAGTGTATTTTTAGTGTACCATTTCTATATTTAGATATACAAACACTGTTGTGTTACAATTGCCTACAGTATTCAGTATGCTAACATGCTGCTGTGCAGATTTGTACCCAGGAGCAATAGTCTACAGCTAGGTATGCAGTAGGCTATAGCATCCAGTAGGCTATAGCATCCAGGTTTGTGCAAGTACACTCTGATGTTTGAACAATGACAAAACTGCCCAGAACGTATCCCTATTGTTAAGCGATGCATGACTGTATCTTTGAAGGTTAAGCTTGCTGAATATTTTCTTACTCAACTCTTGTCTCTCTCAAGACTAAACAAATACAAAATTTTATATTTAGTAAACCCTAAAATGAAAAGCGTTGGCCAGGTGTGGTGGCTCATGCCTGTAATCTTAGCACTCTGGGAGGCTGAGGTAGGTGGATCGTTTGAGCTCAGGAGTTCGAGACCAGCCTGAGCAAGAGCGAGACCTTGTCTCTACTAAAAAAATAGAAAAAAATTAGCCGGGCATGGTGGCACATGCCTGTAGTCCCAGCTCCTCAGGAGGCTGAGGCAGAAGGATCGCTTGAGCCCAGGAGTTTGAGGTTGCTGTGAGCTAGGCTGATGCCATGGCACTCTAGCTTGGGCAACAGAGTGAGACTCTGTCTAAAAAAAAAAAAAAAAAAAAAAAAGAAAAAGAAAAGAAAAGCATTATTTTACCCTATAGATTAATAGATTATTCAATTCACAGAAGATCATTTTTAAACAGTCTGTAAAGAAAAGCATCACTAATGTTTGATTGTAAATAAATCCAACATACGCCCCTCTAGGGCACAAGGACTGTCCTTCTCACGGAGCCTGCAGATCTATCCACACAGGTGAGCTGAGCCTTCTGCCTCTACTTGCCTGATGTAATAATTATCTTATGGGAGTTTTCTTTCTCCTCTGAGAGCCAATCCACAAGGAGCTATTTCCACCTTCTAATCCATCTCTCCATCTAATCTACCCCTTCTAGAACCTAGCGGCTCCTCTTTTTCACCTTGCATAACCCAAATGCCAAGCCTTCCTTTTGGGCAATTCTAAGCCCTCAGTAGTATATCTAGATATTCATATTAAGAAGGACAAACTTATTCTACCTATGGGAGAAACTTGATCATTAGTATCTGCACTGAGGCTTATCTTACACCATGGAATAATTTTCACCTAACAACAGCAATGTAATATATCTTCACTGGGGACCTTCAACATGTCGTTCCCAAGTCCTACCTGTTCTTCAAGACCATGCAAAGCTGCTTCCTTTCTCAGACTACTCCACCCTAAGATGAACTCTCTTTTTTTCCCAGAATCTTATTGTCTGATTTATATCAGGCACTGTTCTACAGAGCTTGGTAATTGAAACCATCATCTCTGACGTCTGACTATTTGGCTTTGAATTCCAACTCGAACACAACTTAGAGCACTTGGTTTGAGCATCAGATAAAGCAATGTACATGAAATAGAACCAGTTAGGCTCATTAATGGTGTTGTTGTTATCACATCATTAGTTTTCTTCTTATATGTCTTTCTATTGCCTCCTAGTTTGTATCATATAATGTGACTATAAAATGTTTTCTTTTAGCCTGCCAGAAACCAGAGTTTGAGGTAAAGGTTTTTGTTTGTTTTTTGTGTCTGTGGCTGATTTTGAGGAGCCATACCAAAGAACAGGAGTTGGGGACTAGGAAGAATTAAACAGGATGGAAAGTCAATTCAAGAGAACTTTATTGAGTGGGCTGTGGGCAACAGAGTTTCATCCCACTGGGGATGTTCTAAGACACATGTAGAATGCTGCCCAGACTTGTATGCCTAGGACATGGAAGAAGGGGATATTTGTCTAAATATCTGTCCACCCAAGTGGTTGATAGGGCTCAGAAACTGATATCCCGAAATACGGCACTTCAACATGCTGAACTGAACAAGAGGCCTCAACATCTCTCTGACTGTTCCCTCTCCTGTCTGTCAATTCTTTGTCTTTCCCAAAGTACAGGACAAAGTTGTTCTCTGAAGTTCCCTTATCTGCCTGAAGTCTAGTCCCTCAAAGAAGAAAAAATGACCTCTGGTTCCTTCCCTGAGTTTTCATTAGCTGAACTCTCATCTCAGAAAGAAAGACTGAAGTCTGTCAACACACCTGGACAGACTTTTGTCACAAACCATTGTCTTCTCTGCAGGCACAACAGACTTTGTGTGTTCTTCGAACCAGGTGAGTTCCCCTGACAATAATTTGCTATCCCCTTAAAATCATCCACACTTTCCCTATCTCCCTTTTTTCCTAGGAAGAAGGGTATTTAACCAGCTGTACCCCATTGCATAGTGGGGTAATTTGTCTGTGATTTTCCCCTCGTGCCCATTCACAAATTTGTATACCTTTTCTCCTATTAATCTGCCTTTTGTCAGTTGATTTTCAATGGGCCTTCAGAGGTAAAGGAGGACTTTTCCCTTGGCCACTACATGGTTGAGGATTGCCCCAGAGGGTAAGCCCCTAGAGCTTCCCAGTCTTGTGTATGTGTCAAAATAGCAGAGTGGGCTTTCATAGGCCTTCCATAGAGGCAGGATGCCCCTGGGATGAAAGCTAGAAGTACCTGGTATAGCCAAGTCAAGGTGCTGTAAAATGTCATCTATGTGGAGTTTGATGTCCAGCAATGACCAGAATAAAAATGAAGTTATCAGTTGAGTTTAATCTATCATAAAATCAAGAGAATATATACAGTCCCCATGTATGTAAAATTTATATACTTTTCCTCTGTTTTCTCATTTTGCAGTGTTAAGGGTAAATAGTTATCTACCAACACAGTTGTACACAAGTTGAAGCTGTGCTGATGAATGCATTCCATAATGCAATGCAAAATAAAGGAGTTATTATTTGTCTTGGTAAATTCCAAAAGTTCAAATGTGTTTTTTTTTTTTTTTTTTTTTTTGAGACAGAGTCTCGCTTTGTTGTCCAAGCTAGAGTGAGTGCCGTGGCGTCAGCCTAGCTCACAGCAACCTCACACTCCTGGGCTCCAGCAATCCTCCTGCCTCAGCTTCCCGAGTAGCTGGGACTACAGGCATGCGCCACCATGCCCGGCTAATTTTTTTTTTATATACATATCAGTTGGCCAATTAATTTCTTTCTATTTATAGTAGAGACGGGGTCTCGCTCTTGCTCAGGCTGGTTTTGAACTCCTGACCTTGAGCAATCCGCCCGCCTCGGCCTCCCAGAGAGCTAGGATTACAGGCGTGAGCCACCGCGCCCGGCCTCAAATGTGTTTTTGAGGATGAGGAAGGAAGCAGATGACTATTACGTAGTGTAAGGATAAGCAATCCAAAAAACAAAGTAGAATAAAGCTCAGAGATGCCCGTGTTTGGTCAGGAAGGCTTTCTTAAATTCTGCCAGATCCAGTCACCTCATAAAATTGGGCTAAGACTTCTCACACATTGCTGATGAGGCCATTCTATTCTTGTCTGCCTCAGAATCCCCCATCTCCTATAGCCTGAGAGAGAGAAGATGTCTTCGAAAACACACAAAACAAAAATAGAGGCCAACCCGTGAGAGAGAAGAGAAACTTGATTCTGTATAGGCAAGCCTTGGGTTTTAGAGATCTGTGAAGATGATAATAAAACACAAGACCAGGCAGAAATCCTAACACTAGTAGTTTAGAAAATAAGTGGGTTAAATTCCATGTGGCAACATATGGATATGGAAATTAATATTTTATTCTTTTTTTGTTTCTTCCTACTTGGTTCATATAGATGATAAGTTTAGATAATATCATTTCGTTGATTTATCGGTTTATTGCAGTATTGGTTTTATTACAATATTTATAAACTTGATAAACAGGTATATAATTCAAAATTTTTATCAAAATCTAAAAAAAATTAAAAGTAAATTATATCAGTACATTAAAGGCCATTAAATATATTAATACTTAAAACAATTGAATATACTGAATTAAATTTTAGAGAACTATTATCTATAATACCTTTGTATGATCATAAAGTAATAATTATATTCAATTTCAGTCCAGCAATCAAGTATTGAGTGCCTGTCTTCATATGTGTATGCAACCAGCTAGGAATTCCTTTTCACCCTTAAATTTGTTGAATCTTCCAAGAAGGTTATATATATTATAAGGCCCTCTTCCAACTCAAACTAGATCATCTCAAGTCTAGTTACATTTACTACAGCATAATAACAAAGTACGGGCTGGGCGCAGTGGCTCACGCCTATAATCCTAGCATGCTGGGAGGCTGAGGCGGGAGGATCACTCAAGATCAGGAGTTAGAGACCAGCCTGAGCAAGAGCGAGACCCCGTCTCTACTAAAAATAGAAAGAAATTAATTGGCCAACTAAAAATATATAGAAAAAATTAGTAAGGCATGGTGGTGCATGTCTGTAGTCCCAGCTACTTAGGAGGCTAAAGCAGCAGGATCGCCTGAGCCCAGGAGTTTGAGGTTACTGTGAGCTAGGCTGACGCCACGGCACTCTAGCCTGGGCAACAGAGTGAGACTCTGTCTCAAAAGAAAAAAAAAAAAAGTACGTTGGTTCCAGCCCAGGTCTCTCTTCTAAGCTATAATCAATACTTTCATTTCCCTAAAAGATACCCAAACATGGTTGTCTTGTAGACCCCTCAAATTTTTATATTTTCTTAATACTAGTCCTGATGCTGATCAAGATATACAATTTGCAAATAAATTACTTCATTCTCTGTGTTATCTTTTTACATTCTTGATGGTTTCCTTTGAATCACAAGTTTTTAATTTTGATGAAGTCCAATGTACCTATTTATCCTTTTATTGCTTGTGTTCTCGGTGTCATATTTTTAAAAAATTGCCCAATCCAAGATACTTCAAATTTTATATAACCTGACTGTAAGGCTGAGGTTAGATGCCATTTTGGTGGGCTCCTAATGACACCCACCACAGAACCACACCACCTGTACCTCTACTGAGTATGAATGTGTCTGTCACCCCCACTGAACTCCTCAAGGACAGGCTGTTACTGTGACTGCTGTGTGTTTACAGCCCACTAGATACCTGGCAGGAGCCCATAGATGCTGGCTGGGTGACAGTTAGAGTGTGTTAAAAGACTACATCTTAGGTACCATGGGACAGTGAACCAGGGCCACACGTAGAGAGACTTTGGTCATATCTAGTAGAGGGTAAGTTTTCAAGTGTTCTGTGTTACTTCTTCTTTGATATTTATGTGTTCTTATAGATTTGCATTTGTTCTCTTATTACAAGTCTGCTGAATATAAAGTGAGAAGAAATGCAAAAGAGATTAAGCAGTGGTTTGTGTTGGTAAATTTGGATCACTGACCAGAGTATTCCCAACTGGTCTCTGCTTTTGTCTCTGACTGTACAGGCTCCAATGGTACCTAATACTTAAACAGATAGGGCTTATCATGTGCCAGGTCCTGTTGCAAAACACTGCAACATGTATTAATTTATTTAATCCTCAAACAATACCTAGAGTTAGTTAGGTTCTGGTATTATCCCTGTTTTACAGAGGTGGAAAGTGGGTTCCAGAGAGTAGCTAAGCGACACATGAAAGGCCACACCACGAATGAGCGAGGTTTTCTGCATTTAGCCCTGGGCAGCTGAGCTCTAGTGTCTGGCCTCTGCATGTGCTATACTCTTTGACCAGCAGGATATAAATGGACCATTTTTAGGATATTCCTTCTGGGTTTAGGCGTATACATGAAGAACTGTGCTTGCAACTCATTCTATTATAAATATGAGATCAGGTCTAAAGACAAGCAGTTGATGTTTGCCTCAAAGCCATGAGAATGGCTCTTAGGAGATATGGAACAGAATGGCATATACACCAAGGCCTTGATCACAAGGAGAAATGGACACATAAATACCCTATTAGCCAATAGGGTATTTGGGATGGATGCTTTTACTTCTAGAACTTCCCACTTTATTTGAGATATCACTATCCATGGCCCATGGACAGTGAGAGCTACATGAATCATAATATCTAATTTTTGGAATGATTTTGTGAAGTGATTACCAATCAGAAAGTGTAGAAAAATCCAGATATAATAAGGGCATGAACCCTCTCTTGCCTACCCAACTTGACCAGATGCTGAGCCTCTCATACCTACTAAAATAACCAAAGTATTTGTGTCAAGCTGATGGGATTTCAGATATTTCTTCTCTATTTTCCAATCTTTTAAAACAAACGTTGGCTTTTATAATAAAGAAACTAAGTTGGAATTAAAGGAAAATAAATGTCTTCTCAGTAGAATGAATCCTGAAGGCACATAGCAAATTATAGTAAAGCCATTTCACTGGACTGACTGGTGTTCCTAACTAAAGACCACAAAACATAAGCAAGCCTATAACTTTCCTTGCAGTCATGCAATCTGTGGTCTGTTTAGAATGAATATAAGAAACATTTTATAACATCTCATCATAGAAAAAGCAAAGGCATCATTTAAGAAATCAGGGGTTGTGCTACAGAAATATTCCTAAAGCCTGTGCTGTCTGGTCTTAATGGTTAAAAACAACTCAAACCAAGAAAAACAATAACAATAACAACAAAAGAATTGGGTTGGACTTGCAAACACTTCATGAGCCATGTGCTCTGTTTTTCTTTCCATTCCTTCTTCTGCGCTCTGAGTGCTTGTCCTTTACTTACATTTCTGACAGTCTTTCTTTTTCCTGGCTTCCTCTGCTCCTCAAGGGTCTAAACTGTAAGGTTTTCTCCAAGCATCAAGACCCTCCTTGTTTGGTCTTTTTTCCCTCAGGTAACAAAGGAATTTCCAAAACCTCAAAACTCACCACGGTAGGAATACTTTCTAAATCTGTTTCTCCAGGTCTGGTCCCTTCCTTTATACATGTCTCTGGAGGAACTCACATTGAGATTCTGCACCAGCACCTCTCATGAACAAAAATCACCCCAGGGCTTCCACCTCCCCAGCCTGTTGTCGATAGCTTTCCATGGCTTATAGAAAACCACTGAGACTCTTCAGTGTGACACTCAAGGCCCCATGCCATCTGACCCTACTGTACTTTTACTGTCTCTCTGCTTCCCAGCAAGATCCATGGATCCGGCTTCCCAGCAAGATCCATGGATCCATCAACACCGAGTCAATGAGACACACCGGGAATGAGACAGAGCTGCGATCAAATCCCGATTCTTCCACATGCATGCTCTGAGGCATGGGGCGGCTTCACAGCCACTCTGAACCTCAGTTTCCTCCTCTGTCAAACGTGAGTAAAAATAATAGTACATATCTAGTGTTGGGATAACGTAGTGCGAAAACACGGGACTGGGCAAAATGCCTGACAGAGTAGTACCCTATCAGTAGTAGCTACTGTCATCATTAGTAAGCATTTAACACGTTCTCTGTGCACGGCTCTTTCCAGAAACTTTTGCTGGAGACTGCGTTCTGCTTTACTGCCATTGATCACAAAGTCGAGATCATTCCTTTCTTACCTCCGTGCCGAATTCAGTCTCCAATTCTTTCACAGTGGGACTCCGTAAGCGCTGAGGTCGAGGGGTGGGAATTTCCTGTAGCAATGCACTTTCTGCTTTGGACTAGAAAGCCGAACAGAAAATTACTGCTACATAATGTCAAGAACGCTGTAAAAACCTCAGCTGCCATCTCAGTAGAGAATAATCAGTACAAAACACGCTGTACCTCGTTAAGGGGTAAGAGCAAGGAAAATGGTTTCGAAAATGACATTAAATTCTTAAGCATCATTTTCATCTGTGCCTATGCAAAAAACAACATTAACATTTAAAACTTGAGGGATAAACTGCATGATATTCAAATCCATGCAGTTTGGAGTGCACAAAGCAAGCTAGACAAGCCCGGAAAACTGCAATCAGCACTAAACAGAATATTCATGTGGTTTCTCTCACCCTCGCTGCTTGTAATTTCTCTCTCATGCGTTCCCTCATGGAAAATTCTGCAAAGCCTGTTCTGGAAGCTGAAGGAATTGGAGGTAAGCCTAAAAAATTAAAAAAAAAATTACTTAAAAAAATATTTTTTTTTCCAAAGGGAAGATTAAATTTTAGAAAATAATGAGAGAATATTATTTTATTTTGCAAATTTGAAACTTCACATAGGCAAACATGAGATAATGCTGACAATCATCCTTTTGATGTAGTAAGTACATGTCTTGGCTTCTCTGAGACTGAGAGTGAAGACCTCAGTCTTGCCAGGGACTGTCACCTTGACTCACATGAGAATAACATGAATGACCCTTGACTGTTCAAGGCACACAAACACCAATTCGATTTCCATTGGGAAAAGGCTCTTGAGTTTGCCGATTTGAGAAATAGCCTTGTCGGGTAAGTGGATGGCTAATGAGGGTTTAACTTTCAACAGGGCTGATAACTTCAATCAGAGAAACCTTTTCTAGAGGCCCAGGCCTAGCCCAGGACTGTATCATGGGGATCACATACATTGTGTACATACTATTGAATTGATATGTAAACATCCTGAACTGTCAGGCAGCTGCAGTGCATCAGGCACGGCGATGCCTGTGTTGAATACATTTTCTCATAAATCTTCACGCTTTCCCCCCAAGAAGGCCCAGGTACTATCATTGCCAGTTGTCATGAAGATAAAAGGCCCTGAGGCCCTGCGTGATAAATGACTGCCTCTACCGTCACACACTTAGGATGTGGAATGCTTGAGACTTGTTTCCACCTCTGTACTCCCCAATTCTCTAGACCGTTATGAAAGAAGTAGAAATAAGAGTCTTTGGGAAAACAGAATGTTAACATGGGTGGAAAAGAGTGTCTCTACTGGGATGAAGGAAGACATAAGATTGCAGAAGGACTTTGGGGTCAAGTTATGAGAAATCTCTGCTGTCACATTAGGGAGTCTTAACTATATTCTCCGAGCAGTGCAGATGTCTTGAAGAAAGTGGAGAGAGGAAGAAGTGAATGCACGCAGCATTTTCAGAAGCTGCACCTGTGATTGCAGGTACAGGTTGGTTGGGGTAGAGTGTGGGAGGCACCAGGTCCTTGTGTGAGATAATAAGGAAAGGGGGTACGTGGAAATCAGTGAGAGAGGCCACGAAAAGGAGAACACAATAGGACTCAGTGGCCATCGGCAGGTATGAAGCAACGGTCCTCACAACCAGCAACAGCAACTTCTGGGAAGTTGTTAGACACACAAATTCTCAGGCCATGCCCTGGACCTGCTGAATCAGAATGTGGGGGCACAGCCCGGCAATCTCGGGAGGTTAAACACACATTCAAGTTGGAGGATCCTGGTATAGAGAAAGAAGGAGAAAGTTAAGGTACCTGAGGCTTTGGCTGAAGTAGGTGGTTGCATATTTAGTGTGGAAGAGGTCCAAGGTGGAGGTAAAATTTTGGGACTGGCCAATGTGTAGACAGAATTTAAAAAGCCTTGAGATGACAACAAGAACGAGTGTTGACACAGACAAGAGGGCCCAGAGCTGAGGCTGGGGTGTTCCGACGGTGCATGGTCTGAATGTGGTGAGAACCAGCAGGAGACAGAGAGGTTTGGCCACTGAGGCAGAAGGAAAACTGGACGAGTGGGGTCTGGGAAGCAAAGTTCCAAAGCAGGAGGGAGGGGTGAGCTACATCAAATGCTGCTGACAGTCAAGTAGGATAAAGACTAAGAACTGACTATTGAATTTACAAATGTCTTGCCAAAGACATTTTCTATAAATGGGTGGAAGTTTGAATTGGAATGGGTTCAAGAGAGGATTGGAGACAAAAATGGGAAAAGATGAGTCTGGAGGAATTTTGCTATAAATCAGGTTTTTTTTTTTTTTTCTTCTCTGAAAGGAGGACAGGGAATTGGGGCTGTGAATGGGGAGGAATGTGGGGTCATGCCTTTCCTTGTACCTAACAATAACAGGCAACATTTATTTATGTGTGTCTTAGTACTTTAATGGGGTCATCCCAGTGCTGTGTGAGGTAGTGAGCTGCAGGTTGGTGAACTTCCTGTTTCCTGGACTCCCTGTCGTGCAGTCTCTGATGGGAACATTAATCCCGTTCTCCAGCGCTGGGCTCTGAGGTTATACCCCCAAGGCCCAGTTCTTTCGGGCAGTTCTCCTCTGTCCCCTTGTGATTTACTAACATTTGTTTCCTGAAGTAGTCTCTCCAGGTCTTGATGACTTTAAAAAACTATGCCCAAAATAAATTATCTATTTCCTTTCATTTACATCACATTGCACTCGATTCTTAACTTTCTTTTCAACCAAGGCTGAGAAATTGGCTCCGAAATGACACTTTAATCAGAGAAACAAACATGAATGAATGGAAAACAGATGTTAGTGATGGAGAAATTTATGTTCATAAGAAACTACTTAACATTTGATAGTAACTCCCTTAAGAGAGGGTGCACGATGGAATCCATGGGGGGAAGTGTGTTCTCTTAAACTAGATGTTTATTTGATTTGGGACTAGTCCCTGTTCAGTGAAATACTTTATTTGGAATGTTATGACTATATATAAATATGTTTGAGCAGGAAATTAGAAGTCAGAGCTTTCACCGTGTGGCTTTGTGCTGCTGCTCATCAGGGAGGTGGCACTTCTGGGATGTGACTGGGGCAGTGGGGGAGGCCGTATGGTCTGGGGTGCTGGGCTCTGCGTCTCTGAATGCAGTGTGGCCTCGACAACACTTGGAGCCTTGTAGGAAGGCTACAGTGTGGCAGAGGGTCACAGGTTCAAGGAGAGGAGGTGGGCTGGTAGCACTGACCCTAGAAAGGTTGGGGGAGTAAAAGGTCAGGGGAGGAGTCAGACACCTGGGTTCAGGTGAGCAGACCTGGTTAGATGGTCTGGGCGTGGTGGTCGGGCAGTAAGCAGGCGTCCCTAAGCCAGAACAAGGCCTGGAGGAAAAGAAGCAGAGAGGCTACCTTGAGATGCTGTTCGCTCAGCCAACATTAGCAAGTGCCCCTGCATATGAGCGCTGTGCTAAGCAGAGTGGGAAGTCATTCTCTGCCTTCAAGGACTTCTGGTCTGGTGGAGGAGGGGAGGCTGTGTGACAATGAAAAGATGCCTCTGGACACTCACACAGGTACAAGGGTCACGGGAGCACAGAGTAGGTCTGCTCAGCCCACGCTGGGGCACAGGGGATGCTTTGCAAAGGGGTTATCCTTTCCAAAGGTATATACTGATTTTTGAAAGATGAGCAGCTAGGATAAGACAATGAAATAAACAAAAACTCCAAATAGGGAACGGGTAATCTCCCTGAGTGCCATTCATTTTAGAAATAAATGAGGCACAGTGAGATGGACAACCTTGTAAAGACTCAAGATTCTTCTTGAGGATCTTGATGGCTTTCTGCTCCATATTAAAGGTCTTTGGTGGGTCCCTGGAGCCCCTGTTGACCCTGCTGGCTGGGTTGTAGCATTGCCTTCATATATTCCATGGGCAACTGAATCGTTAGCTCCAAAGATCAAACAGGGTTAAGTTTGTGGGTGTACAATGACACCATAGTGCAACAGTTAAGAACATGGGTCCTGGAGGTCAATAGTCTGGAGTTTGAATTTTGGTCCTACCACTTCTGGCTGTTAGTTTTCACTGAGCCTTAGTCTCCTAACCTATAAAACAATGCCTGATAATAGGACTGTTTTGAAAATTAAATAATATAATACATGTAAAGGCCTTAGCATGGTGCCTGCCAGCTTGCTGCCTAGCTCAGAACATGGTCTTAAGTTCTCAGAGGTCACAGTTGTCACATTTATCATCTGTCTGTTTGTCTCCTCTCTTTCTCTCTCTGGAGGGTAAAAGCCTCAGGTCAACCAATAAGTGCCTGGAGAAGAAAAATAAAATGGAATATGATCTTATATCTTCTTGGCATTGATCTGTGAGCATAAACCTTCTTGTTAGGGATGAGGAGACCACTGAATCCACAGTTTTGCCTTGGAAGATGTAGGTGAGCAGTGTTTATGAGTTGGCCATGAGGGAGAGCCTCAGGACCCATTTACACAAAGTATTAGCTCCAGCCCAGGGTAACAGGCCTGTCCTGGCAGGCTCTGTTGTAAACATGCAAGTCTTCCCTTAACATTTAAAAAGGGTTGTGGGTAGGGGGTACAAGCGTGGTTCAGCATGTGAAGATTGATCAATATAATACACCACATTAAAAGAATGAAGGACAAAACCCACATGAGCTTCCCAATTGATGCAGAAAAAGCGTTTGACAGAATTCAACACCCTTTCATGATAAAAAACACTCAATAAACTAGGAATAGAAGGAAACTGCCTGCACACAATAAAGGCAGTATGAAAAGCCCATAAAAGCTAACATCATACTCAATGGTGAAAAACTGAAAGCCTTTTCTCTAAGATTAGAAATAAGGCAAGGATGCCTATTTTTGCCACTTCTATTCAACAGAGCATTGAAGCCTGGGCAATAGTGAGTCCTTGTCTCTACAAAAAATAAAAATAAAAAAAAAAATTAGCCGGGCATGGTGGCACATGCCTATAGTCCCAGCTACTCAGGAGGCTGAAACAGGAGATGGCTTGAGCCCAGGAGTTTAAGGTTGCAGTGAGCTATGATGACGACACTGCACTCTAGCCTGGGCAACAGAGTGAGGCCCTGTCTCAAAGAAATCCAAAAACCCCAACAAGTCCCTAACCCCTGGAAAAACAGAATATTGAAAGTCTTAGAGCAATTAAGACCAAAAAAAAGCCAGGCGCGGTGGCTCATGCCTGTAATCCTAGCTCTCTGGGAGGCCGAGGCGGGCGGATTGCTTGAGGTCAGGAGTTCGAAACCAGCCTGAGCAAGAGCGAGACCCCGTCTCTACTATAAATAGAAAGAAATTAATTGGCCAACTAATATATATATAAAAAAAAATTAGCCGGGCATGGTGGCGCATGCCTGTAGTCCCAGCTACTCGGGCGGCTGAGGCAGTAGGATTGCTTGAGCCCAGGAGTTTGAGGTTGCTGTGAGCTAGGCTGACACCACGGCACTCACTCTAGCCTAGGCAACAAAGCGAGACTCTGTCTCAAAAAAACAAAAAAA